TTATTTTGTCAATTTGTCGATCCAGCACAGCAATGACGTTCATTCCCACCGGATCATTTTCCTAAAGATCGTAGGAATTTCGTGATCTTATCTGTTCATCTTATATTATGCGGTTAATTTTCATTAAATACTATTCATATTTAATTTTAAATTTTAAAATAATTTTTTACTACATGATGTATGATGAACAAATGAGATCACGGGATCATTAAGAGCATCCTTTTCCATTCCCATGCGACACGTGTGGGGGGCAAGCAACCTCACTGGACATCGTGTCTATCGACCCAACCCACACACTTGTTGTAATCCCCGGACAAAATAGTCCCTTCACACGTATGACGTGGCCAACACTCAGTGGTCGCACAACGAAAGCAAACACGATGGCGGAACACCGGATTCTTTCGCGGAGTGAGACCGACCGTCAACGATTCAGAAGAGGCAGAATTATAAAAAGGGCAAATATTTGGGGAAAATAAAAGAAAAAGGATTAAGAACGTCCAAAGTTGGTGACGAAAGCAGTGACAAAACAATCGAAAGTGGGCTCGTGCACACGTGTCACCTTCATTTTAAACCGTCGACTGGTGTAACGTGACCCATCTGGCTGCGGTCAGCCCAGCGCTCTATCTCTATCTCTTTGTCTCTCCTCTTTGTTTCTCTCTCTAGGACTGGGTGGCACTCTCTCGGACCACGTGTGAGAATTAAAAAGTGGAAACATGTGCTGTGCCGTCTCTGTTGGGCTGGTGGGTATATATAACGCCTCTTGGGTGTCTTAAGCTTCATTATTCTGGTTCGAAATCTGAGAAGAAGCAAATTAGCCGGAGCAAGAGCAAGAGGAAAGAGAAGAAGAAAGGAAAAGGGAAGGAGTAAAGCGAAACAGGTAAAAAGTAATCATGAGCAGAGGAGGAGACGAGCAGCAGCAGCAGCAGCAGCTGGAGTTACCGCCGGGGTTCAGATTTCACCCGACGGATGAGGAGCTGGTGAACCATTACTTGTGCAGGAAATGCGCTTCACAGCCTCTCGCTGTTCCAATCATCAGAGAAATTGATCTTTACAAATTCGATCCGTGGCAGCTCCCTGGTATGTCAATTTATTCCCAATTTCAATTAATCAATTTTGCTTTCTTCTTTCTCCCCCAACCCAACCCAAATTTCATTTCTGAAAATTATGGTCTGGGTCGAACTCAATTTTCTTGAATTTTTGGATTTTTTTGTCTAACTTTTTATTTTTATTTTGGTGTGGTATGCAGAAATGGCACTTTACGGAGAGAAGGAATGGTACTTCTTTTCGCCAAGGGACAGAAAATATCCAAACGGTTCAAGACCGAACCGGGCAGCCGGAACCGGGTACTGGAAGGCGACCGGGGCTGACAAGCACATTGGAAAGCCCAAGGCACTCGGGATTAAAAAGGCACTCGTTTTCTACGCTGGTAAAGCCCCCAAGGGAATCAAAACCAATTGGATCATGCACGAGTACCGCCTCGCCAATGTCGACCGGTCCGCCGCCACTGCCAAGAAAAATCAAAACTTGAGGGTACGTCCGTCTTTCCATTACCTTTTTTTCTCTTTTACCATTATACCCTTGGACCCTCACACGTCATTCAACCTGTATCAAATTTTGTAATTTGACTAAGATATATATATATATATATATATATATATGCATTTATTTAATGCATTCATTATTTCAACGGTCAGCTCAGCTGTGCAATCTGAAAGAAAGAATATCGTATCTAATTATATTTGACCATCGAAAGATGAATGTATTAAGTAAATTCATGCACATTACTCGGTCTCAAAAATTTTGATCATGTCATTGCATTTGCATCAATGCCTCTTTAAGAATGCGCGTTGTAACTTCTGGTTGATTAAATTAGAATATCGCTCTCGAAAAATAAATGAATCCGGCTTAAAATATTTTAATCTTAATTTTGTTTAATTACTCAGAGTGCTTATCTTTCTAAATTGATGTTTATGTAATGCAGCTTGATGATTGGGTACTATGCCGCATATACAACAAGAAGGGCAGCATAGAGAAATACAATGTTACAACCAAAATGACCAAATACCCAGAAATATCGGACGAGCAAAAACCTGACATGACTTTGATGCCCCCACCACCACAAGCGGCATCAAACACGCATCACATGATGGATTCGTCGATGGATTCAGTACCGAGGCTGCCACAGACGACGACGGACTACTCAAGCTGCTCGGAGCACGTGCTGTCACCGGAGGTCGCGTGGGAGAAGGAGGTCCAAAGTGAACTGAAATGGAACAATGAATTGGAGAATTCCTTTAATACCCTCGACAATCAGTTCCTGAATTACATGGATGGCTTCTCCGATATTATGGACCCTTTTGGGGGGCAATTGCAAATGGAGCAGCAGCCGCCCTACCAGTTGCAGGACATGTTCTCCTACCTCCACGCCCAATTGTAAGACAACTTACAAGGGCACAATTGGAAAATGGCAAGACGGACAGAAGGGGAAAAAAAAAAAAAAACAGAGGCCCATGATTATTTGATTTAGTACTAGTTAATATTCTTTTGAATTTGGTTACATGATCAATTTAATTTGGATGTCTGGAAAAAAGAAAAAAAGGGGTACGTTTAGATAATGTTAATATGTAATGAGATTCCTGTAGAAAATTTTCATAAGTTGTTCCAAGTTATGCACCACAGAGAATTGTTTTATATTTCTTTTAGAACGTACGATATAAATGAGAATTTTTTACTCGATAATCATTTTTTAAATAGAACGGCTTAAATCTAATTTAACAAATTTTAATGGTCAAAGAAAATCCTAATAACTCAAATTTATATCCAATGGTCAAAATAATGATATTAATTAATTCAAATCAGATCAAACATCAAAACTCCTTCGAAACACTCTTAGAAAATTATGGAGAACATCTACTCCAATATACTCCAAGAAAGAGGAGGTATTGTCAAGCTAAAGAAGGTGCAATGCATTTATTCTACAAAACTCGGTACTCGTATTCGGACATCGAATTCTATCGTCCATAGATCTCGAAAAGTGATTAGTGTCATTGATTATCGTTTTTAATTTTTTAATTTGTGTAACATGCTTTAAGTATCTTTGTGTAATCCTTTTGTTATCATGTAATGTTATTAGTTTTATGTAATGTCAAGGAATTGTTTGTGTTCACCATCACATTCATCTACGATATCCAACTCAAAAATATCTCAACAGTATTTTATTTGGAAATTTGAAATTTTTACGTCAAAATGTTCGTAAAAGTAAACAAGATAGGTTATACAAAATATAATTTCAAAATTATTAGCAAAAAAAATAAAAATCACAAAGTACAAAAGTTTAACAAATTATAAAGTTGGAGGTTGGAATTATACGTCCTTTGCCCCTTGGAGAAAAAAACTAACTAACCTCATATGTGTGGATGAATAGTCGAAAATAAGGGGCTCAATTTTGAGATTTCCCACTCTTAAGTTGAAGATAGCCTTAGAGCATGACGCATGACTTTTAGCCTAGGCTCGAAGAAGATCTAGCCCCAAGTTGTGAAGAAAAGCTTTCTAACACACTCCATCAACCCATGCTAGTTGGAGCCCGAGGCTCCTTGTGTGACCAAATGGGCCTCGGTTCTTGCCCAAGACTATATAAGAGGGCAGTTTAGGACAAAACTAGTAGTCAATGAAAATCAACCGCCTAACATTTTTTAGCATCTAGCCTATATCACTATTAGGGATGTACAACGATTATGGCGGGCGAGTAATCGCAGTTATTTACCCATAACAGTTTATGTTCATACCCGCATAACCGTTTACCCGTTAGGTAATTGCATAAACGGTTATGCCCATACCAATAACCGTTTAAAAACAGTTAACCATACTCATAATTGTGTACCTATTTAACCATAACCGTTTACCATTTACCCGTTTATCCTTTTTTTTTTAATTTTTTTATTTTTATCCATTTACCCCTTTTTTCACCGTCTACATGTTTTTTTTTATTTATTTTAAATCACTTGAAAATTATAAAAGAAAAATTTGTCATAATTTTCGTTTTATGACAATTAAACACCATTATAGGTACATTTTAGTATGCATTTCCTTATTTTAATCATTTAAGTCCTCATACAATTACAATAATTGAAATAATAGTTTATGAACGATATTTTTCTACCACACCCAAGCAAGTCTTTAATTATAATCCATATGATTACAAAGTAAAGCTTCTAAAAACAAAAACCAAATCAATTGAGTTAGAATCACCATTCATCAATATGCATAAACACAAGGTTTACATTCCATGATTTTTCACACACCCATATGCAGAGATGAGTGAGGGCGGCAATGACAGATAGATGAGCGGCGGAGATAAGAGAGAGGGCAGCGAGGAGGGAGATATGAGCGGGGGACGGGGAGTTTGAGATAGATTTTGTTAGATTAAATATTAAATTAATCACTGATGAGGTTTGAACCCACACCATTATTTGCAAGAGCTCAACACTTTTTCACCACTGTGATAAAGAGCCACTTGCGGTTGCCGGTCGAGTTAATTAGCCTAAAAATAACGAGCATTCTTGACAAGTGACTAATCATGATAATATAAGAGAGCAGAGAGAGACCGAATTAGCAAGAGCAGAACCAGCTTTATATTGTTTTGAAGAGGAATAATGTAAGTTATTTAATTCTTTTTGGACATCTAGGAACAAGAAACACATAAGAATTTTTTATTGAACCACGTCAAAAGTCATTGTATTAGTCGGTAGCCGAATACTATCGGGCAAGAAATTGCATCTGCCAAAGTAATAACTGTCAGGCGAGGAATTGCCAAAGGACATTTGATACTATCCTTGCGTTGTATGTTGTATGTTGCATGTTGTAACTTGTATTGGAAGTTTGGAAGTTCGGAAGCTTGTAAGAAATTGCCGTAAAACTGTGTTTTTTGGCGTATGAATATGGCGGTATCTTGTGATTAATTTTGTTCCTAAATCAAACCCGAAGGAATGCAAAACTACGCAGCAAGTGAAGAAAAGCATAAACCAACCTGGAGAGGAAGAGAAGAAGAAGAAATCGAAGCAAACAAGCAAAGCCATGAATCCACCTTAATGTCACGTTATCCTTTGAATAAATACCGTGTATTTCCTTCAGACATTTTATCAAACACCTGGGGCACTAGGCGACAAACTATCATTTTTTTAATTTCGTTTAGATATTTGTTCGTCCAATCATTGGGTAAAAAGCGGATTGGGAAATGGAGGGCAAGTCTGGGTCGTGGTTGCTGTTGACGATGGTGGTGATGGGTTGGTGTGTAACTTTGTCATCAGCTTCTTTCGGCGACCAGTACTATCGGGGCTCTAGGAAAACTGATGCGACGTCGTCTTTGGGGTTCAGTCGCGCAGCACCCTCCTCCATAGTATTTCCAGTTCATGGCAACGTTTATCCAACAGGGTACGCTCTTAAACTCTTTTAATTATATCATTCATTTACCTGCAAAAATAATAGTTTTCGATGCTTATAGCTCATTTGGTTAAGAGCATTTGCCCCGCAGCCGAGGTCCCAAAAATGGGTTTGTTTTGGTTTTGCAGGTCCTATAATGTGACCCTAAACATTGGACAGCCTCCAAAGCCCTACTTTCTGGATCCAGACACTGGTAGTGATCTCACATGGCTCCAATGTGATGCTCCTTGTGTCAGATGCACTCAGGTATAATTATCTTATAATTAATTTAATTATCATATGTTAATTAGTAATTTCATAAAAAAGTTGCAAACTTTTCTTGTTAGCATGCATAAGTTTGTTACTTGTTCTGTCTATGAATGTTAAACCGTGTTATCACTATAAACTGATCGTCATCGGAGAAGGGTCCTAAGAAATATTCATCTTCCGTCTCTGTTTGCAGGCTCCTCATCCATATTACCGTCCAAGCAATGACCTAGTGGCCTGTAAGGACCCCCTCTGTGAAGCCCTGCACTCGCCGGGTTCTCACAAATGCGATGCTCCGGAGCAATGTGACTACGAGGTTGAGTATGCTGATGGTGGTTCATCCCTTGGTGTGCTTGTGAGGGATTCCTTTTCCCTCAACTTTACAAGTGGACTCCAGCTACGACCTAAACTGGCCCTCGGGTTGGTAACTTTTCATTGTTCTTTTTTGTTTAAGGAAGCTACGAACTTAAACTAACAGAACCTTGTGTCCCACTAGGCACTTGAGGAAAACATAACCTAAAGTTTCAGAATTTGGTGTAAAGTAGAAACAAGCATTAGATTAGACTGAGTCGCCACAAATCTGTATTCGCTTATGTGCTCCATCTTGGCCGTTGAATCGTTTACTGTTCCTTGTCTACAGGTGTGGATATGATCAACTTCCTGGATCATCTTATCATCCCATTGATGGAGTCCTCGGCCTTGGCAGGGGAAAAACCAGCATCATATCACAACTTAGTAGTCAGGGTTTGGTGCGAAATGTCATTGGTCACTGTTTAAGTGGCCGAGGTGGGGGGTATTTTGTTTTCGGGGATGACATTTATGATTATTCACGCATAGTTTGGACACCAATGTCACTTGATTACTCGTAATGAACCCTTCTTGAACTCTGTTTTTCATCTGAATCTTTTTTGTTGATATATCCTTAGTAGTTCAATCATAACCGTATTTTCCTTCCCCATTTATTCTCCTTATGGTTTATCTCAGAAAACACTACTCGCCTGGCCCAGCGGAACTCATGGTTGACGGGAAATCTACCGGGTTTGGAAACCTACACATGGTTTTTGACAGTGGGAGTTCCTACACTTATCTCAGTTCTCAGGTTTATCAATTTTTGACTTCATGGGTAAGTTAGAGCTTTATCAAAAAGTAGCTGGCATTTGGATTACCCGGATTGGCAAAGATTTTTCCGACCATAATTTGACATGTTAATCCTTTTCCATTGCGCTTGTCTTATTGCAGTTGAAAAGAGAACTAACTGGAAAGCCTTTAAAAGAAGCTCCAGATGACGGAACTCTCCCGCTCTGTTGGAAAGGTCGCAAGCCATTTAAAAGCATACGAGATGTTAAGAAATACTTCAAGCCCTTAGCACTAAGGTTCGGCAGTGGTAGAAAAGACACAGCTCAGTATGAATTGCCCCCTGAAGCATACCTAATACTATCGGTGAGTGAATTTCGCCTTCCATGATCTCCGCATCCTTCTTCATTTTGCTTTCCGTTACAAGGAGAAGAAATTTGTGTTTGGAAACTAATGATATATATGTGCCGGCAGTCCAAGGGAAATGTTTGCTTGGGAATTCTAAATGGTACTGAAGTTGGACTGCAAGATAATAACATCATTGGAGGTAAGAGTTTCCATGTGTATGTCTTATGAAGCGTGACCTCTAATTTTAACGGCAAACACAACGCCCCTTTAATTTTTACGCGGGATTCAAACTCCCAACACAATATTGATCGTTTTCTTTCTGTTTTGGGTTATTTTTTACAGACATTTCAATGCAAGATAAGATGGTGATTTATGACAATGAGAAGCAGATGATTGGATGGGCTCCTGGAAACTGTGATCATCTACCCAAGCGTAGAAGTAGTTTCAGCTTCTGGTGATGCTTTCTCAGGCACCAGGGCAACAAATGTCGAGCACACGAGGATGCTGCCCGTTTCCCAGGCACCAGAGCATTCTCTTGCACAAAGAAATGTAACACATATATAGGGTTTAGGGTAAATAATTTATATGTATATACTACACATTCTGTATATTTCTCCCATTTCCTCATTTATATCTAAGTCGATGACATCTCTCTCATTTCCTTCCACTTCCCCTGTTCCAAGTACACCAATTTGCTTTTGTATTTTCTCCGCCTTGTCTGGTAATCTTGAAACCATTGCCTGCAGACATGGTTAATCACAACGGAAAATCTATTAATAATGAGAAATTTTATTTGAACCTATTTAACTTCTTTCTACACCAAACTTATTCTCTACACCCATATTATTTTTAATTAAAGAATTAATATCTCTATAAATCAAAATTTATTACCTAAACTACCCTCCCAAATCCAATTCAAACTATAAAGTCATCTTTACACCCATTTAAAAAATAAGTTCTCAAATTGAATAGTTTTGTTTTCAAAGAGACTCAAAAGTCAAAAAACATTATGGGCCATTTGTCCTCCTCCCACCGTGATCTGTTCAACTAACTAGTCCCAATTCCAATCCATGTCCAAATTCTTCAATTGTTTTCGTGGCAAGTGTCCATATATCTAACAAAGCCTTGAGTTGTAAACAACGATACTCTTTGTATATATACTAGTGACTAGTAAGGTTGTTGTTATTAACATTGGAGAAAAAATAGTTGTTTAAAACTAATATTCATCTTCACATGTTACAATTTTTGTAATATATACTCGTATTTTTTAATCAAAACCTTGAGTTTTGAACATACTTGAATCTTCTGAGGGTTAAAGTTTTTGTGAGCATATTCAAGTACAGTAGCTGTTATTTTGGGCCATAAATCAAATTGTTTTGTCTGCAATCTAATTGATGTGGAGATCTCCATTAAACAAAGGTCAAAAAACTTATATTCATAGAAAGGGTTTCATATATAGGAAAGAGATCCTCTTCGGATCTTTCCCTCCAAAGCCCAGGAATCAAGTGATCTGTGCCTTTAAAATTTGATCAAACGACTACAAACATAGAAGTTAGTATAAACTTTTAAAAGCTATAATAATTTTTGACCGTTGGATCAAATTTTAAAGGTTCGGATCACTTGATTCCTGGGTTTTGGAGAGAAAGATCCAGAGAGGATCTCTTTAGTCATATATATCCTAGAAATTTGGTGTGTGCAACAATTTTTTAATACTTTCACTTCGGCGGTGTAAAAAGTTTAAACTATGAGCAGCCTGGGATTGACAAAAAAAAATTGAAAATCAAATACTCATCTTCTAACTCTAAAAAAAATTGAAACCAAACGAACAAAAAATTTCCATAAGTCAAGTCATAACTTAGTTGGAGGATTGATCAAAACTTTCTCACCATCTATCAATAAAAAAAAAAAACTTGTTTTTTCTCTATAAGAGCTTGTAGAGTTTTAACCGGAATGTACATAGGATAAATAAGGAGTGATGGTAGGATTTATTATAGAGTGTGGGTTTATTGATAAATTTAAGTTTTATTATTAATTTCATATTGTATTTGATGGTAATTATGCAATAAGATAAAAAAGACAATTAATATTTAAAATTTAAGTTGAGTGTAGAAATAGATTACATGAGTTTAAATAAAATTTCTCATTAATAATTCGGACTATATCATGCACTACTGAAAAAGAAAGAAAACTATATTCAGAATGACACTCAACTGATTTTTACATCCCTTTCTATATGATTATTTAGACTAAATTGAATAGATTTTGAACATCTTCGCCGGAAACCTGGCCTAAATTGCTAACCAAAGAAGATAGTGTGTAAGAATACCTTATTTGCAAGAGTTTGCGACTGTATTTTGTAAACCGAAGGCGAGGAGAGGAGGAAAGTCTTAACTATTAAGGAAGGAGGAGAGGAGGAAAGGAGGAGGGATGAGGGAGGAGGAAGAGAAATTAAAATCCATGGGGTTTGGGAGCTGTTTGTGTTTAGGGGTTGCGTTTTCATTTGAAGGAAATCCAAATGTTCGGGTTGAGTTAACTCATTGTGCATCCATAACAAATAATATCTTTGTCTACGTTTTTCATTTGAAAAATAATAATACCAAATTAGAGATAATATTTTTTTAATTGATCGTGCTCATTTTATGTTCGGGCTTGGCCAATCCATTGTGCATCTATAAGTACATATTTAAAGAAACAGGGTTTAGGTCGTGTTCGTTTTATGTTTGGGTCGGACCAACTCATTGCGCATCTATGACATGTAGTACCAATGTCTCGTTTTCCATTTGAAAAAAAATAATGATACCAATTAGAGATTGTACTTTTAATTGATCGTGCTCATTTTATGTTCGGGCCGGGCCAACTGCATCTATAAATACATATTTGTAGAAACAGGGTTTAGGTTGTATTCGTTTATTGTTTGAGTAGGGCCAACTAATTGTGCATCTATAACAGATAGTACACTTGTATACATTTTCCATTTGAAAAAAGAATACCAAATTAGAGATAGTACTTTTAATTGATCGTGCTCGTTTTATGTTCGAGTCGGGCCAACCTGACCCTCAAAGCACAGATGAAAAATAGCAAAAAATGAGAATGGAAATAAGAATTTACGTATCATGTGGAAATATAAAAAGACACTAACACGAAAGTAAAGATAGAAGAATAATACCTGATACATATAAGTATATGAAGCAAATTCAATAAAATTATCCATATTTAAAAGAATATTTTCTAACAAAGAACATATATATTTTAAAATACGGATCTTTACCAGTCATAAGTTCAAATGTCGTGGATTGTAGTTGAATAAAGATTAGGACATCAAGATTATAACAGGGGAGATTGTGTGGACACTCAAGAGGGTGTCGATGTGAAACCGTAATTTGTCAAAAGTTCTGAATATTAACGTGCAGCTGTCTAAGAAGCAAAATTCTTGGCCAAAGAAACAAAAAAGAAATAGTCAGAGTTCATGCAAGAGTGTGTGCGTGCTCTCGAGTCGGTCATCCTCCAAAGCTTCACATCGGAGGATTTTTTCCCACAAAAGTTCTGGTGTCATGTTCTCTTTTAATTTCAGTTTAGCTGTGTTCTGCTTTCTATGATTTACACCAGCAGCAAGCTGCTGTTTCCTCCGGATCAATTGGTAAAATTTGGGTTTACAAACATTTCAAGTTACAAATTGGTCACGGCGTTTTGGATTTCGGTTTTGACTAGTGAAAACTGAAATGCGAAAGAGAGAACTGAAGAGCAATTAAAGATACATATTTTGCAATGCATTGCATGCAAAGTACAAGCAAAGGAAAAAGAACTAACGCTCTCTACTGAGGACAGTTCGTCCTCTCTACACCTGCCTAATTTGATCATCATTTAGACCATCCAATCAGAGATAAGATTATGGTTAATATGTCGCGATTAATCACGGCCTTGAATAATCTTTGCTTTTCCGGTGTGTAGGGTGGATACCTCAAATCGGAATCTCCACCGAAACCTCGATAAAGAACTGCTTTCTTGTGGCTAAAACCATCAAAGGAGAATTTTCCGTGGTATGAACCCATTCCACTCTCCCCAACTCCTCCAAATGGTAAACCGCTTATGCTAACCTGCGCGCGTATATAATGCAGTAATAATTTGTTACATAACATGTTGAGAATCAATTCAATTCTCTCCGACAGAAAATCAAGAGAATGATATAAATTCTACCATTGATTTTTATTTCAGGATGTTGATGATAAGGTCGTCATTTTGGTTTGTTAAGATGCAGAAATGTGAAGATGTATATATATGCATAGAAATTGAAGAGAACAAAGAATCTCACATGAAGGACGGTGTCATTGATGAGCATTCCTCCAGATGATACGTTATCCACGAAGCCCTTCTTCAGCTGCTCATTGTTTGTAAAGGCATATACTGCAAGAGGCTTTGGCTTTGAATTTATCACACTGAAACTGTCTTCAATCTTCTCAACCTATACGGAACATAATCATAAGATACGATAATGATTACAACGACTTGAGAACTACCCCAGATTCCAGGCTTTTGATGATATTGAAAGTAATTTGATTACTCACAGTGACGATCGGCATTAATGGCCCAAATATCTCCTCCTGCATAATTTGAGCGTCTTCTGGAACATCCAACAAGATAGTTGGAGCTATTTTTCTGCATTGGATCGGATGATGTATATGAGTAAATCGTTTTAGAAACATTGTACGCATATGCATTTTATTCAGACAGTGTTGTTGCTTTCCTTAAAAGATATACAATCACAAAAAGTCATCGTTGTACTTACAATTGCTTCTCATCCATTTGGCCACCGAGGACAATCTTATTAGAGACCTTATCCTCATCCAGCAGCTTCGCCAACCGTGTAAACTGGGTAGAGCTCACTATCCGTGATATATCCTTTGAGTTCATCGGATCTTTCCCAAAGAACTGCTCGAGACCATACTTTAGAGCTTCTATCTGTCAAGTAGACATGCTTTCAGAAAAATATCCTGAATTAAAAAAACATATATACTCAAGTATATATGCTATGCCAAACATATTTGTTCCAAAGTTTTTCAACAAGAGCATCCTATCGTACCAACTTCGGAGCAAAGTCTTTCGTAGTGATAATGTAATCAACACCGATGCAAGCTTGTCCATTGTTCAATGCCCATTTGCCTGCTATTATCCTCCTAACAGCCACCTTTAAATTTATAAACAGAAACAGTTAAACCAGCCACGCCAGAATATTTATTAGAAACATTGACCGATCGCTTTAAGAGAACCTAGCTATTACCTCTAAGTTAACATCTGAGTCGACAACAGCTGGGGACTTTCCACCGAGTTCCAGAATTACAGGTGTAAGGTGTTTTGCAGCAGCAGCCATCACAATGCGCCCTACTCTTGCACTACCTGTACGATGTGCAAATACTTGGTCAATTATGTTGCTATCTCCCTAGGAGTCAAAGAACGCACGAAGCAGAACAACTATGTAAGAAAAATGCGTAATATGTATACAAATGGAGTACCGTTCTCTTGATAAACTTACGTTTGTGTATCTGAACCACACATTTCCTTGAAGAAAGTTAGAATTAAACCGTAAAGACTAAATACTTAAATATGTATTGGAAAAAGAACTGATGCATCGTAGATTTCACTGATACACAATTAGGTATGAATTATGGACAAATTCATGTATGAATTACGAACACCTCCACCTCAATATAGAGAATACATCAGTTAGCAATGCAAAGGCTAATTGCACAGAAAATCATTTTTGTAAAAAAAAAAAAAAAGATTATGCAGAGTGTATAATCGTTGATTATATGCAGGGGAATGTCTTTACTTTGAGTAATGTTGTATATGTGTTGAGAATGAGTCCCACATTGATGAGAGGAGGGACCTTGCATGGGCTTATAAGAGGTTGGGCTACTCCCCATATTGCCAACTAGTTTTATGGTGGAACCCAAACGCGTACTACTAACGCATTCAAAAGAGGCTCTCATAGAAATCTGAGGAAGTTCATAATTAGAGAGAACAGTATAAATTAACCTGTATAGAGTATCTTATCCCACTTCTGCTCTAACAATGCAGTTGTTTCTGGAACAGCGCCCTCAACAACTTTTACAGCTGAGTTATCTAAGTACTCCTCTACTAAATTTGCAAGTAGTGAAGATGTAGCTGGAGCAATTTCTGAGGGTTTTAGCACAACCGCATTGCCGGCTGAAATAGCTCCAATGACTGGATCAAGAGATAACACTGGAATGTAAAACAGCACGTGTTACTAACAAATATATCAGTCATGGCATGGTTTAGTAGGAAAGCTTCAACAAGGTGAGACGTATGTAACTTATGTATCGCCTAACTAGTAAAGTGTGAACTGTGCAGCAATATATTAACGTACAGAAAGGGAAGTTCCATGTTGAGATGACCAACACAACTCCTAGAGGTTCTGACACAATTTCTGCTGATGATGGATATGTTGTGATTGGAGTGCTGACCTGAAACAAACATTGAAAGTTCCACGTTATATATACTATTAGCATTATAGTAAATATTGGAGGATATGGTGGTCAGGAACAAGAATGGACGACGGGAATTTTCATCCTTGTATCTGACCAAAAGGGTATTTACTCTAATCACCTTCTGTGGAACCATCCAATGCTTCAATTCTTTCAATGCCTCGTTACATGACGATTTTGCCTGAACAATCTGCAGTAATCAAAAGTTAATATTTATTTTTACAATGCCGAAGAACATACACAAGAACATGTTCCATATTAACAAAGCAAAACCATTAAAACTTGAGAATACAACAGAATATTCACTATGAGAAAAAAAGATATCAAGGGACTTTGCAAACAGATCGAATTCTGACCAAACAGCGTCAGAGTTTTAACCATTGCAATTTTCCCCGAAGGACTGCTTTCTGATCGATAACACTCCTTATGAAACACATGGTTGCTCGCCAGGAACCATATGTCTATGATGGTTAGTCTTAGTCCAGCATACTGTTCAATTTGCTCAATTTGCAACTCAATATCAAGAAAATGGCGAGCTGAACTGGGGGTACAGGCGGCTCAAGTGGACGGAGAGTATATTTTTTGTGATACCTATGTGACTCAAGCGTCAGATGCTGCAACTAGGAGAAGGAAATGGATACCAAAAGGTAGTAAAGAAAAACATGTCAAATAGAAGAAGAAAGTAAAACCTGCGTAGAACAAGTAAGCCCATGAATGCTACCTATCGAGTTAATAGTGACTATATTTCATGACAAGGTTGTCACTTGTCACTAGTGAAGCTCCGTGTACATTGCGCTCGCTCGTGTAGTTGGCATACAACTGAATTGGGGTATCACACTGCAAATACTATTTCAGTTTTTGTTTTGCAGGTTGACAATTGTAGCCATCTTCATGCACCATTGTATAATATGAACACGCACTGATAACATGCTAATTAAGACTCTTGTAGTTATGTAATCAGCGTAAACCGAAGGTAAAGAGGGAGACCTCGGATATAAATGCTTCGATTTCAGGCTTTGAAAGGTCCTTGTAAAGAGCTTCAGCGATCTCCTTCTCTTTTTCTTCAAGCATCTTTGCAATATTCTCCAACTGCGACCTTCTCCACTCATAGCTTTTCGTCCTTCCCGAATTAAAACTCTTTCGCAGCTCCTTAACTAGAAGACCGGCTTTTTCCGGATTGAATGTTTGCTTTGCTTCTTCAACCTCCGCAGTTACAGCCGACAGAGTTGCAGAACAAGGTTTAGTGCTAAAAACAGAACAAACAAGAATCAGATACTACACATACATACAATTTCGACGAAACTAATGAATGCATGTTCCCTTGATTTTTATGGAAGGAAAAAGGGAAAAAGAGAAGTCGACTTACGAGTAGGAAGAGCATCTAAGTTTGGAGGAAGAGAAATGCTTCTGGTTTTGATAGTTGCATCTTCTTCTCTGAGACGGGTGAGTGAAAGCTCTGCTGCTCCGAGTACCAGCCCCTATCCCAGCAGTACCCGCTAAACCCAAACTGGTTTGGTTCCATTCCATTATAATTAGTTAAATAAACAGAGTATATATGTTGACATAAAAAGAGTAGAAGAAGGGCAGGGAGTACCTGTAATTCTTAAAAAGATCAATGCAGAGGCCTTTCATGGTTGATCACAGAGAGAGAGAGAGAGAGAGAGAGAGAGAGAGAGAGAGATTGAAGGCACTTCTGCTAACTACTGCAGTCTGCAGATGGAAGTGTTGAAAGCATCCAGTTGCATTTACATTGGCATATAGAAATAGGAGGAGGACCGCTCCGGTGGTAGGTACCAAGTACAAGGGACCAGCCAGGTGGGTTTTGAAATAGAAACCTACGAGATTAAAACTAGAGATACTTTCTCTGCCGCTCATCTTAAAAGACAAGGCGATAAGGTTTAACAAACATTATTGGTGGGGTGCGACCTGTAGACTCACAGGCGCAATCCGGCTCCAAAATATGTATTTACTAACTTTCTGTTTGAACAAGAAAAATAAATTCGAAATTTAAATAAAAGTCAGCATTTATAAATTAATATATACCAATTATCTTGCTTTGGTTCATAAACATATAAATTTAAAATTTTTGTGTAAAATAAAACTCATAATTTAAGACCTCTAATTCTTAAATTAAATAGTTGTCATTTTTAAATTTTCATAAGTAAAACGTGGTAACCAAATTTCACAGGACCGAACCAAAGCGGACCTAGTTGAATGCGAGAGTACTCCTGGGCCTTTGCCAATACTTAACACTCACGTGGATTGAGTGTTAAATGCGAGATGGGATGTCTCCGTGTAAATCACGTCTAATAGAGGTGACAACTGCGATTGTGCGCACCACACTTCATGAGATGGACTCACGTAAATCGATACGACGGACCACTCCCACTTTTAGCATAGTTGGTGAGCTCGTCGGGCCAGGAAGACTTAGCAAGCCTAGAAGGGCTCGCATATGAGATCAACCCCGAAATGCCTGATAAGGTAATATTCAACAGGATCTTTAAGAGATAGTAGTTAATCATGGCTCATACATAGCCATGTCAGCGGTGCTGTTAAGAGTCACTCCTAAACATGACTCTTGATTGGTGCCTGTTTGTATCTGATGTTATATTATCGGCCAGTGGAATCGAAGCTATTGAATGAGTAGAGTTCTAAATCGTTGGATGAAAAGTTAAAATAATTTTAATATTGTTGAGAGATAATATTAAGGTTTTTAATCATATAATTATCTTTTCATAATGAATTATCTTGTCATTTTCTTGTACAAGATAAATGGAATTCATATTATATCTCCAATTTGAAAGCATAATTGGTTTGGGATGTTTGCAAGTGGCGCATGGCTGAGTCTCGGTTTTATCCTATGGGAATGATGTGACAAGTGATTTTTTTGTTTTGTTTTAGCAATCGAGATTATTTATACTAAAAAGGTGGGAGAATAGGCTATGTCTCATAATACATTAACAATAATATGGTTCAAATTTATTTTTTTAGCGAGAATTTAACATAAGATATTTCACTTATAAATGAAAAAAATATTACTAGATCGTAGTACTGAATGGCTGAATGTGACAAGTGATTGGATGGGATAATATCATGCAATTACCGCATGCATGGGGTAAAGCCTTAAGGGTGCGTTTGTTTGAGCTCCTTAACCCTCACTGGACTAGATTGGACTACACATTAGTGTAGTCCTGTGTTTGTTACTTACACAGACTAAGTTTAATGGGATAAAGCCGGACTCGCGTGGACTATATCCGTCACTAGGAGGTCTTAGCGAGACCCCCCAAATAACATGGGATTGCTAAGACCTCGTCTGCTCGCTTCGCCAACATCACCTACACCCACCAACCAAGAACTGCAGAGAACCTAGAATCCAGAATCAAGTCATCTCGTTTCGAATCGTGGAGAACCCAGAATTGCCAGTTCTTCGTCTGCTCGTTTCGAATCGCGGAGAACCCAAAGCCCAGAACCCAGATCTTTGTCTGATGAGCTTGGCTATTCCCTTCTCTCTCTAGAAATGGACGGTTTCTCTCTCTCCCTCACCATCAACACTACCCTTTTCTTTCTCACTCGCACTCATCTTCTTCCTTCACTTTCTTGCACAACCCAAAACTTCCCTCTAAGGCTCAAGAAATGGGTTGTTTTCAGTTCCAGGGAGGAGCCAAAGCTCGACCCTTTGGACCAAATGGAGCTCAAGTTCGTCGATTTGCAGATCCGATGATCGACGAAGCTTCTGCAAATTGAAAAAAAAATTTGGGGATTTTTCTGGGTTTGATTTGAGGAGAAAAGTAAATTAAAAGAAGATAAATATGGGTTTGAATTCAAGAGAAAGTAAATGAAAAGAAGAGAAGATATGGGTTTTATTTTTTCTGGTTTGAGTTTAGCAAATCTGGGCGTGAAGAACCAGAGCAAATGAACAAAGAAAAAGAGAGACAGGGTAGAGAGAGTCAAATAAAAATAGGTGTAATTTGTTTATTTTTTTAAGATAAAAAAATGTATTAATAATAGTAAAATATTTTAGTCTGTGATTTAGTCCGATAGTACACCAAACACTTCATTATTCTTATCCAGCTTAGTCCAAGCCAAGACAGTCTAGCTTAGTCCCGGAAGTTAGTCCAGTCCGAAATAGTCCGATGCAACAAACGCACCCTAAAGGTCATCAAAGAGGTTAGCATGGGATTGTGATCTAGTTTGGTTAGGAGTATTGGCATGTGGTGGTAAAGATAGGCTTTAGCTTGGGAAAAGCAAGTCCGAAAGATTGAAACGCAAAAAAAAAAAAAAAAAAACCATCACTTAATTAAATTACTACATAAATAAATATATATAGCCCGAAAGATATAGCTCTTCATTGAGAGAGATTTTTTTATAAAGCCTCAAAAATTCCTCAAAACTCTAAAATGGGTTATATCTACCATTTTTTTCAGTCTCATATAGAACTCCTCCCTGAAAATGCTTTAATAGAGGTAACAACTTCTAGTGTGCACACCACACCTCATGTGATGGACTCAAGTAAGGGTCTGTTTGGGATTGAGGTGATTAAAAAAAAAGCTACTATGAAAAAAAGCTATGAAAATTTTTGGTGTTTGGTAAACTTTGAAAAGCAGCTTTGTTTCAAAGTTGAGGGTGAAAAAAAGCCCAAAACTAGGAGATGACAAGAAGCTGCAATTTGCAGCTTCCAAAAGCAGCTTATTTTCACCCACACACGGGTGAACAGTATACACGTTTAATGAAATATGAATAACCCAAAACCCAATTCAGAAATTTGAGATTCCAGTTCAATACCTTGTTCTTATCAATCCTCTTGACCGCAACTCGATCCCCATTTGCCCTATCGGTTGCAACGTACGTGTACCCAAATTGCCCGTGACCCAACAACTTCCCGATCGTGTACCGCTTATCGAAATTCTTATCGTACCCGAAATCGGTCCGCGTTCCGCAGGGAATGACCCTCGTCCGGCTCCTGGAGTTGAGCTTGTTTTTGGGTTTATGAACAACCTGCTTCTTGGGCGGTTCATTGGGTCCGTGGGAGGGTCTCTGTTCTTGCTTCCCGGCCGTTGTGCTCTGTTTTCGGTTGTGATTGGAGCCAGGGGTGGCGGGCGCGGTGTTGTTACTATTTGAGCCACTGACTTTGATGGTGGAGAAGCACCCTCCCATGGTTGACCCAGAAGATAAAAAAATAGAGAAGGGAAGAGAGGTTTACTTTTCAGAGGTTTTGATCGAAAACCATTGCTGGCGGAGAAGGAAATGGATCATTTATGGAAAGGATCAGAGAAACATTGGAGCAGATAGGAGGAAAGATTGGAGCAGAGGTTTCCTTATGTCTTTGAGTGAAATAAACTATTTAACATCTCAGTACTATATTTATTATTTGTTAAATTAATAGCACATCTAGTAATATATCCTTTTTGGTCATTTCACACAGTCACAGCTGTTTTACAAAAAAAGTTTACCAAACACTATGATACTGCTTTTTTTTTCCAAAAGCACTTTTACAAAAAAGTTTACCAAACACTTTGCTGCTTTATTTCACAACCGCTTATTCTCACAGCACAGCCACTTATTCTCACAGCAGCTTTTTTTCAAAGCACAGCAATACCAAACCAGCCCTAAATCGATACGGTGGATCACTCCTACTTTGCATAGTTTGTGGGCTCATTGGGCCATGGAAGACTTTGCAAGCCTAGAAGGGCTCACAAATGAGATCAACCCAGAAATGCCTGATAAGGCAAATATTCAATAAGATTTTTAAGAGATCATGGTTATTACAATCCTGACTCATACATTGCCATGACCACTGCTACTGTTAAGAGTCATTCCTAAACATGACTTTTGATTGGAGCCTGTTTGTACTCGATTTTATATCATAAGCCGTGCAATTGAGGCCGTTCAATGAGTAGAGTTCTAAACCGTTGGACGAAAAGTTAAAATCGGAAAGAAAACACTTATTCTCAACGTAAAACCTACTTATTTATTCATTTCTTGTGTTTTAGTAAACGAAGAATCTGTCAAACATTTGTATGATATCCCCTACTTTGCATTCCCATTCTTTGTAAGTGAACAATCCATAACTAAGAACATTCAGCTTGTGTTTTGTTGTTTTGATCATGTCTCATTCCACCATGTTTTTCATCTTTGTGGCGAACGCTTTGGAGTTTTACAAATTCTCTATTTGATCGGAATAGAGGGGGAAAAAAAAACCTACTGTATACATTCTCACCCACCTTATATTGATTTGTCATTTATGAAGTAAGATCTCCCCTTCAAATTTCTTCTCTTCATTCATTTCCTATTTGAACAATCACGTTAACGTTTTGTATTGATATTTAGAAAATTTTATTTAAACCCATATAACCTCTTTCTACACTCAACTTAAAATTTTAAATGTGAATTATCTTTTCTACCATATTACATAATTACTATCAAATACAATATGAAATTAACAATAAAATTAAAATTTATTAATAAACCCACTCAATAATCAAACCCTATCATCACATCAAACCTTGCGATCACGTAATATTTATTATACATTCATTCTAGTTAAACCCTTAAAACGCTCTCATAGAGAAAAATATGCTCTTCTTGACCAATGGATGATGATTTTAAAGTTGTGAATCCTCCAACTAAGGTATGAGTCAATTTATGCAAGTTTTTTCATTTGATTTCAAATTTTTTAGGATTTAGAAACAAAATTAACGCCTTTTCTATTACACTTGCCCATAAACTAAATATAAGTTTAAGTCCATAACAATAAATGTTCAATTTATAGCCTACACTAGAGATGTAATTTTCTTGGCTTTTGGCTGACAACTACAACATAGATTAGTATTATCCAAGTCCTTCTGCTTGTTTATGTGAAAGCAGTTAATCTTCTGGGCAAGTAAGAAGCGAAAATTGACTAAAACATTGACACACAACAAACAATTTTTATGATTTCTAAACTACACGTTGTCTATTTTATATAACTTAACCATTGAATACAATTTATACCTAGTTCTAATTAATTAAGCTTGAACTCGACAAATGCAGGAGCAAAGATCAAACATTAGCACCGAAATGATACAATTATTTAAACTTGACTTAATTGTATATCAAAATGACGAGAACTGCACCATTTTCAGTATCTACTAGGTCCTTACCTTTATATATTAGAGTGGCAAATATGAAACAGAGATTAAGTATGGGACAAATAGCTAAGAGACGTTACTCTCTTTACGCCTTGAACGAGTTCTAGAATATTGATTTCAGGTTTTTATTTTCTAAATGGGTGTAAAAATAAATTTATATATTGAAGTGGGTTTATGAGGGTAATTTAGGTAGTAAAGTTGGGTTTAGTTTGATTAAAAGTAATATGAGTTTAAAGAATAAGTTGAGTGTAGAAAAAAGTTACCTGAGTTCAAATAAGATGATGTAAAAAAAGGTTACATAGATTCAAATAAAATGAGAAAAAAGGGATTGAAGATAAGATAATTTAGAAAAAAGAGAATTTTACATCTTTTATAAGGTGGTGTGTGGAAATAAGATATAATGCAAGTAGATGAGGACAGAGACATCACATTATTCTTTAGAAAAAAAAAAAAAAAAAAACATTAATTTGATTTTTTTATTTTTACAAATTACTAAATTTGCCGTGGTAAAAAGTAACCCGGTTTGTGGAAGATAAAAGAGTTAAGACGGAAAGAGTGGGACAAAAGGTGAAGGCAAGATGCTGCCGCTAAAGCTGGTACGCTCTCTTGTGTTTGGGGAAACCATCAACAACAACCCTCTCCTTCTTCCCCAACATCAAGACGACGACGACGACAATGGCAGTCACAAACAAACGGGCGGCGGAGGAAGAAGCAGAAGCAGCAGCAAATCGAGAACCCCATTTCTCCTATTCCTCCCAACCAAAGAGATTGTCACTGACACTTACAGACTTGCCACCATAGCCAGAGATATGGGCATGGACTTGCATCCAACCCCATCTCTCTCCCACATCATTCTCTCCTTCCCGCCTCCGCCGCCGTCCTCCTCCTCATCTCCCTCTACAGCATCGCCGTCCTCATTTCCATCGTTTAGGTCCTCATCGTCGCTGTCGTCAACGTCTTTACCCGACGACGCGGTTCCCCTCCCCTTCCCCTGTCTCTCCGCCGCCCCAATTTCCCATCTTCGCGCATTTGTCAAGCTCTCCAAAGGCCTTTTCAAGCTGGTTTTTGTGCGCTCCGATTGCAAACCCAGTGAGGCAAATAACGTTGGCAGTCAAAGCAATTGGAATTGCAGCTCAATGTCGCTGTTTTCGCGGCTCACCGGTGACAGAATTGATACAATGGAAGGGTTTTCCCGGGCTTTAGCGGGACTGGGATGGACCCTTTTCAAGACCAAGGAAAACCCAACAACGGATTCGAGGGACAGGAGGGTTTTCGGTGGCAGACCGGTGTATCTATTTAGAAAGGTGGATACAAACAGGGTTAGAGCTTGCGCGGTCGGGGAGTGTAGGATTCGGGAGTTGAGGTTGCCCCCACTGGATTTTAGGAATGCCCCTTTGAGAATTTTGCACTACATTCTTCTTATGACTGATGATATCTTCTATCTTGCATAAACGATAAAAAGGTGTGTCCTGCCACCTCTCACTGTTTTGTGTTTTGTTTCTTCATTTCGACGTCGCTTGTAATCTCCTTATACTTTGTATGTAGTGATTCTATGCTAAGATATTATCAGTGAATCATATATCTTTTTGGAGTTTTCTAGCCAATGTGTGCCAACCGTTGCCTTGAATTGGATTGTTTTGGTGTTTTCAACGTATAAGTGTCGAGGAAGGATGAGCCATCCTTGGCTTGCCCCCGAATCGAAACGAAAATTAAGTTTGTTTTTGTGTTATTGGAATCGGGAGTTCAAGGATTACACCATTTGAAACTGACAAGCATCCGAACAGTGGTTTAAAATTTATCATCATGTTTTTGGAAGGCAGATTGACTTGACACTAGTTTAAGCCTGAGGGTGACGGTGCAGCGGTTTAAAATTTCTCATGCATTGTGTTTGGAAGGAAGATTGACTTGATTCTAGTTCATAGTTTAAGGGTGACAATGGTTAAATCATAGTTTTGGGAACAAATTGACATGAGACTAAAGCTGAAGGGGGTTATTTTATAATTTTCTATATTCGTTTATCCTGAGATTTGAAATATCATGAGTGTACTTACTGTTTCTAGTACCATGGCTCTTGAGATGACTCTTGAGCCTGTGGATGCACAGTAATTAAAAAAAAAAAAAGAACTATGGAAAAGGAAGATGAAGAAAAACGTATGCTTGCTTACCCGATGTCTCTGGGGTGAACTGATTGCAGCCATAATCAGTCCAACAATTGTAACTAGTTTACAACTTGAAGAACTAAACCGAATGAAAATGTAAACCCATGAGAGTTGTTTAGGAAAATGGCCATGTTTGGCAAAAGAATACAAAAAGAACCCATCAGAGAAGTTCTTTCTTTTTCATTTTTCTTGTTTTTCTCTCTTTGCTGCACTGGATTGGCTAAATTTTCATAGCTATCTCCTTCCCTCATCTTACTTTCTCTCACTAACTCTTTATCTCTCTTTCTAGGGATGTTCATGGCAGCTTGACCCTTCATCTCTATGAAGGGTTACCAAAATTGACCCGTCTATTCCTTCAAAGATATGATTTTCTTCAAAGGTACCTATTTAACTTTTCTTGAATCATCGGAAAATATGTTATGGAGTTTTTTATAATTTTCCTTGCCATTTGTAATTATGAATTGGTGAGGGGTCACTGAATTGAGTTGTTTATTTTTCAATTTTGTTTTAGTAAACCTCACCATTTTTAAATGATAGTTGTGATTGGGCGAGGTTTCAGTTATATGTATTTATCTTCTTGTAGACCTCACCATTCGTAAACTACTTATGCCATCATGTGGGTATCAAATTCTCTTGTTTCTGTTAGTAAAGGTTTTTAAGGATCTTTAAAATGTGGGATCTGTTTCTTAAAAAGTAGGACAAGAAGTTTGAAAATGGACTGAAATGAGAGGAAAACTGGGGCCAAAATATTAGAACTCTCACTCTATGTGCCACAACAAATCTAAAATATTGTGGTACAATCATGTGGATTTGGGTATTCCAAACATGATGACATGTTATTGCTCATTAACCTAGGATTCAAGTTGACAAATTTAGTATTGTAAAGATAAGGTGGTTAGGATAGGCCTGCGTTTTTCACTTCAATCGTAATGAAGTGCGTTTGCTGGTTTGGCTTTGTGGTTTTGTTTCAAGTGTGATTTAGTAAGTGGATGACATTTTGGAACCTGGAAGTTCCATGAGTAGGTATTACAAACTTTCCTTCTTATTTTAATTTAAGAACATGTGACATTGGAACCATCCAAAGGGGAAAATGTGGGAAGAGTCGTTGATGAGAACGGGTAGGACTAGGAGGGGGTTGTTGAGAAAATAGCCTGAAATAAGGAGGAACCGTAAGTGGATAAGAGGGGTGGGTAAATAATGGGTTAGCAAGTGACCACATTAGTAAAGTTAATAGAAGTCAGAATTTTTACTCTCTTTGGACATTGGGATAAAATTTTCTGGATGAACACAACTTTAGATTGTATGGATCAAATACAGTAGTGTTCAAAATTCAAGGTCTATAAATGTAATTTAGATAAACGAATATGAAGTTCATATTTTATATTGCGAAGAAACCCTATGTATCATAAAAATTAACAAATATATGAAAGAATTGTTGTTAGACTCTGAAGTACAACATGTCGATGTCTATGTCTTCCAGAAGCCTACGCTGAGGAGGAAACTTGGGCAAGCAATTCGCAATGTTTGTAGCAGTTTCTAGATATAAAGAAAATCTAGTGAGCAGCTTGTTGTTTCCGTCTTTAGATGACTTTCCCTGTGTAGCATTGTCCCCATGGATGGGCAAACTATTGACATCGAAGTTGAAGTTGGTCTTCCCAATTAGGTCTTGAAGTGCCTTCTTCTTGTAAGTCCAACTTCCACTTCTCAAACTGAAGTTATATAAAGGAAGAAAACGTTGTCCATACATAGCTATGAACTCCAGCGCAGCTAAAATGAACTCCAGTTCATCGTTTGGCATGTAGTAGGGAAAGCTGATTCTAGTCCACCCTGGTTTCACTCCGAGATAGCCCTGTACATAATTTTTTTAGAACCCATAGTAATCTTAAACTCTCTGTTAAACGTTGAACTTTGTAAGAACATGTTTCGTTTTGGACTGTATGACATCATAAGTAAATCTTATGTTTGCCGAATTGGGTATTTTGACCATACATCAGGATTTGCAATTTAGATTTACAGTCTGTCGCCATAAGTGTGGCAAGAGAACATTACCTGAGCATTGAAAACTTAGTGTGGTAGAAGTTGAAGATGAATGGGATTAGGAATTACCTTCTGAATGGCAGATCTATAGGCATGTGAAAGAGTTTGATCAATTTTGAGGAGATTGTGACCATAGGGTGCAGCACAATCGCAGCCACCTCGAGCCTGAATACCAAATAGATCATTGAGCAGAGCTGCGACGAAGCCCCCATGAAGGGGCTTGCCTCTGCTGTTTCCTGTCTCTCCCCACATGTAGAGCCCTTGGTCAGCTCCCTCTCTGCCAATATCTGTTTTTGTGGCAGCCGTTGAGGAGCAATTGGTCGTAGAATAAACGAGGAAGGACAAAATGGCTAGTCTTTTGGTGCTCGTATTTCCCAAAATCCATAAGTTTTGGTTAGGGAGAAGCCTCTCTAGTGCCCTTTTAACATGGAGTTGCTCTTTCTTTTCAATGACTTGATAACCAATGTATTCCTTCACCCAGAAAGCCAAGGCTGCCCTGATTGTTTGGATGATTTGAGGAGTACCCCCATTTTCCCTCTCTTCTATGTCCTCGCAGTACACTGTGTCCTGCATTTGTCACATAATATATGAACTTTCATATATGATAAAACTACAATATATGTGATATTAGTTGCCATTAAACCGCTTTGTTAGAGAAAGTCTCGAGTTCAAATTTGATGCCCGATAATTTGAATGGTCACATAAATGATAGAATTGATTTAATAAATGCCTGAAAACAACATTTCTTTTTTAATTTTTGTTAATAATGATTGTCATTGATAATGTATGAATGTAATATTAAGAGAAAATTGGGTGGTCTCTGAATTTTAACCCAATTGGACTGAATTAAAAATTTGTGAGTATTTAGTATTTGAAGTTGTCACAATGTGGAGCAATGATCTTTTTCGGTAATTCTGTTCGAAATCATGTTCTTAGTTTTCCGTTTTAACCTTTTATTTTGGATGAAAGTTCTAACGATGTTACCTAGTAGGATTGTTGCTCTAGGTTGTGACAAGTTCAGGCCATCAACATGTTACGTGAATCAATGCTCCAATTATCAGAAACATTAATTAACGACATATCTGTAAATTAAACAATCGTGAAGCAGCAGAAGGACATTACCTTGTTTGCGTGGTCAATCAATTACCAGATCACATGATTTTCGTTATTGATTGACAATTAATCCTAACTTTTGGCAAAACCAAAAATTAGTACTTGGATTAGGGAATACCTCAGGATTGAAGCCATTGACGTAAGCAACAGTCCCACCCCCACAAGTTGACGGGGGAAAAGACCTGAGCTGATACAGTGCCTTGCTCATCACAAGTATGCCTGGGGTTCCGGGCCCACCTACAAATTTGTGTGGGCTCAGGAAAATACCATCGTACCCGTCCATCTGTCCACTCCTCATCTCAATTTCCACGTACGGCCCACTGTATTTATTTGTCACACACCAAATCAATACCAACACGAGAAAAATTCAGTTTAATTACATAACAACATGTGGCAGTATACGACATCGCTTGTATACGAACAAAATTAATTTAATTAATTTTACCAATTTTTTGTTCAATTTAATTTAACCAATTTTTATTTTGAATTTAATTAATTAAGAACAAAATTCATTCAATTAATTTGACCAATTTTTTGTTCAATTTAATCAAATAAGAACAAGTAGCAGTATACCAAACTAGTTGATAAAAAATCATAAAAATAAAAAAATTTAGCAGTAGTTGTATGTCCAAAGGTTCTACTTGAATTGACTTTATGTATTTAACAAAGGCATAGAGGTTCTTCTGCGATCGATTCATGTCTCCTGATATCGCTTGTATGCAAAAACAAGATGAAAGAAAAGGACTAGTGGGGTGTAGTCGGTTTACCTTGCTGCGAAATCAAAGCATGCTAAGCCGCCATATTGATGAAGAAGACGAGCGATTGCTCGTGTATCCGAATAAATTCCGGTGACATTGCTACAAGCCGAGAAGGAACCCAAAATGGGGCGGTTGGCGTACTTGTACGACTCGAGTTGTAGTCTAAGAGCCTCCATGTCCAACAAGCCATCCTCGTCTAGACCGATCTCGATCACTTGAGCTAAGCTTTGCCGCCACGAGAGGAGGTTCGAGTGGTGCTCGTAAGGGCCGACGAAAACCAACCACCTCTCTTCCATGCCTATCAAATCACTGCTCAGTATTCTATCTCTTAGGGTTGACGGCACTGCAATGCCCATCACCTCTTGGAGCCTTTTGATTGCTGAGGTAGTGCCTTGGCCGCACAGCAAGAGTGCATCATCTGCTCCAACCCCTAAGCATTTCTTCAAGTACTTGACTGCTTCTCCCACCATTTTCGTCGTCCGGTTTCCGACGAAGCTGTCACAGGTGTGAGTATTCCCTTTAACATGTTAACACACACGTTCATTAGTTGGTTTGTTCTTGAGATCAACCAACTACTCGTAACATTTGATATAATACAGAGTTGATATACGTACCGTAAAAGGGAAGGACATTTTTGACGATGAAGTTTTCGATGTAGAGAAGAGAGCGTCCGGAGGCAGTGTGATCCGCGTAGGTGAGTCCTCGTCTCCCGAAAGGAGAATCGAATTCTGCAGCGGCACCGATGACTTGAGAGCGTAGCCAAGACAGCCTTAGCTGCTCGGACTCGCTCTTTGGCACCTCCTCCATCTCAAGTGTTGCACAGAATGACGATTCTCCGCCGCGGTTGCAGTCATCATAAGGTGATGAATCTGATGATTGATGATCAGGAGAAGCTGATGTCGTACCAGTGCTGCTGATGATTGCTGTAGGGGAAGGGGAGTATTGGATTTCTCTTAAGATTGGTTGCTCCAAATATTCAAATTCCATATGTTAATTAGCAAAGATTAACGAAAGGAAGAATTTATGAACAAGAAGAACAATGAGTTGGAAGGAACATGTCATACATATATATATATATATATATACACACACGTATATATTAATATAGTATAAAGAATTATGAGTGTTCCGGTGGGTTTGTAATTGTATTGATAAAGTATATAGATAATGCGGCACCCGCATTGCATTAAACCAATGGGACCTATTAAATTCGATTCAAATATGGTGCCTTTTTCTTGCAACCGCTGTCTTTATGGAAAGTTCAACGCATTTGGATTGGATTTTACGCGGCTCTCATGCCAACAGTAAGTAAAATCCGAGTCTTTGACATCATTTTGGTTCCATACGAAACCACGGCTTACCCTTTCATTTTTTATTTATAAACAATATTTTACACTAAATTCATTTCAACTGCAGAAAAAGAGTTAGGCGTAGAAGAAGAGTACATTGCGCGCTCTGGCCAACCTGACTAAGTCTACTTCCGCAACTTTTTCAAGAAATAAAAAAAATCTAACCGTTTGAACTAAAAAATGAGGTTGCCACTTAGTATTATGGTTTAGTAATATTCCTTTTCACTTGTAAGTGAGAGGTCTTAGGTTCAATTCTCACCAAAGACGAATTCGAACCACATCATTGCTAGTCTATTATGAGGTTAAGTCCACCCTCCCCCATTAATGTTGGTAGTATCGTGTGTTTGAAAAAAAATGATGTTGGGCATTTTATGTTGGGCCAATATCCACTTACCAACCTGAACAAATTTGGGCCTTCGTTTAAAGAAAAAATAAACAGTACCTCGGTCCGAACAGCTTTTGCTTTTTTATTTGCATTATTGAGCATGCTTTCACAAGGGGAAATACTTTGGACGATGCTCTGGTGAAAATTTTGATTCTGACTAGAGATATTTAATTAAATTTAATTGTTGAATTTAAATATAAGGATGATCGTAGATTATGTAATTTGAGTTATGTGAATTGGTTGATATTAAAATGAGGATATGATTTGACGCTTGTATATGTTTTGTTTTCGGTTTTAATTTTTTTTTTCAGATTTAATTAAATGGGGCTTGCATGCCCCCTTCCTCTTATTATTCTTGGAGTTGTAATCTTCTATTACCCTGTTTTTGTAACTCTCATAATTCTTTAATATTTTATTTTTTGAATAAACGATATTATTTACGCTAAGGATAATCCTTTAGTATTTTATTTTTTGAACATACGATATTATTTACGTTAAAAATAAATACTACTAGACCGTAATACCAAGTGGCTAATCCTTTAGTATTAGGTTTCTATTATGATGTATATATTTAGGATAGTTTATGAAGAAAAAAAAAATTAAGATTATCCCAAAAAGACTCCCACTTGTCTCGACCTTTCGACTAAATTGTGTGACTCGTAATTTAATCAATTAAGTCCATGATTAACTCTTTAATCTATATGATGTGATATCATTGAATTATTGTTTTTAATTTATGTTTAAGAATGCATAAAACTTGTAATAAAATCCTCGCTAAATAATTATTTAATTGAAAAGGAAATCAAGAAATGATTTGTGCTACGTTAGCACATTAATAACATAATTGACGAAATCTAGACAAAAGAACCAAATTGATCGAAGTCGAAATTGATGGACCAACGGAGGAGGCCAATTTGAGGGAACAGGATTCTCTTCGTATTTATTTTGTAGGAATTCTAGAGATTTTCATATTCTAGTTATTTATTGTACATCGTTCAGTCAGTTTTCGTCATGTAATACTTGTGTTTAATTTTAAATTAAAAAATTAAACGATTTTTGACTACAGACTATGTAGAGGATCCCTAAAATCCTCACAATTTAAATTCGGATGGAATCCAAATCCCAATTTGAGAAACCTCCCGTTAACTATTTTATCTTTGTATTCTACAAGGCAGACTTGAAGTAGACGGTGTTGAATACTATCTGATGTGGGGACAGGTGGCAGTAAATATAATGAAGGGGACACTGAAACTTCTGAACAATCACAACCAATCCCTTCCCTTCACTGTCCAGTCCTGCGATCTCAGGTCGGCTCTCTTTTCCGACGGTTTTGCACTCAGCTCTTGCATTTCGCTTTACCAATCCGAAACCCTAAAGCCCTCCCACTATTTCGTTTTCAACCATCAATCCAATCCAATCCCCTTCGCCTTCAGGCTTCCGGTGCCGTACACCTCAATTCCAATTCCAATTCCAATCCTATCCTATCCCCCTCTTGTTTGCCCGCTCTTTCTTCAACAATCGAACACACAAACACTTAATATCTGTGCTCTGATTCTTCAGTCTAGTGCGGCGGCGGCGGCGGCGGCAACAAAATTGAAAGGAGCAATGTAAGCACCCCTCATCGATTTTGCTTGTCAAGTTCTTTCTGCATCTACTTGATTTTCTGAATTATACATTGTTATAGGGTTTTGATTTTCTATTAATAGGGGTTTGATTTTTCAATGCATTGCTATTGAGGCTCTGTGAATTGAAATTTAGTTTAACAAAATTGTAGCTTATCCATTCAAATCAATCCAATCCAATCCAATCCAATCCTCTATACCAAACGAGGCCTTAATACGGGTGTGGGATGTCATGTTAGCGGTTGTCCTGCAGTAATAGTTTCTTTTTCTATTATTTGGTTTATAATTCTTAAACTATTTCCTGTTTACTTTTTAGGTTTGTGGTTTCTTCACATTGTATATGTTCATATAACAACTTAGGTTTGTGATTTTACGGTTAATATCTTAGCATGCTTTTATCTTATGTTGTTAATTATAAATTGGTCGTGGACATGCCTCTCTGACATATTTCCCATGCACTGCTGTTTTTGCTTGTCTGTGGATCTAACCGTAATGACTCTACGTGGGAGCAATGTTTAGATTAAGTCTCATTAGAAGCTACAAGGAGATGCAGAGTTCATGTTTCCGGCTTTTTTAGTCTCTTTACCGGCCCTTGTATTATGCTTGGAGGGTTAACTTCTGTTTACAGCTGGAACTGAATTTTTGTTACCTGCCATTATTCTATGGAATGACAGTTCTTGCCTTATGTTTCTTATGATTGTACACTGGATGTCGGAATTATACCAAAATAGAGAGGTGCAATAACTCAATAGCACAAATTGCGCTCTTGAAATTAAACCTCAACTGACTTGATGGGCAAGGAAAGCTTATCAGAAGCTAGCATTGTAGCCTGTGAGGACGATAGCTCACCTGGACATAGTGATGATATTGGTACTCAAGCATGCCATAGTCTTGACAACGAGGCCGGCTTGCCAACTTGTCGCGTGTGCCATTGTGCTGAATCGGACAAAAGGGGAGATGCAGCGTTAGGGTTCTTGGGTATTGTTCCTCCTTTACAAGAAGCATGTATAAGCAACGGGGAAGTAAAACCTCATAGCACGGTAGTCCCTAAATGTGATATATCCGCCCAGAAAAATGTTGGAAAAGAATCTGGTTTTTTGGAGTTTATAAGCCCTGATGGAGAGGTTTTCATATGTAGTGCTGATTTAGAGACTGGTTCATGTCACCATGAAGACATGTTAGTTGAGCTTGGTTGCTCTTGCAAAAATGACCTTGCTCTGGTACACTACGCTTGTGCACTCAAATGGTTTGTCAACCATGGATCCACTGTTTGTGAAATCTGCGGACATGTTGCAAAAAATATCAGACCTTCAGACTTCAATAAGGTTATGGTCTCCTTAAAGGAGTATGAAACATTGAGGGAAAGAACTGCTAGGGGGGAAGCCAATGCCACACAGGTCAATACATGTACAGGTATAGATCCTGATGCTGTAGCTGCTATCAGAAGGCAACGACTGAGTGAAATTTCACTGTGGTTTACTCCATATGGTAATAGCAGTAGTAACAATAATACAGATAGCAATTCTGTTGCAATTTCACAAGTTGTATCGGAACAACCTTTGAATCCTGTCATTGTTCCTGCTGAAAATCCTGCAACCAAATGGGCTGTGGAAGGTACTGGAATTCTGCTTGCTACAGGGCTTCTTACTGTTACTCTTGCATGGCTTATAGCTCCTCGTGTTGGGAAGGTACGTTAGATTTGGTGTCATTCAATTATTAAAAGAATGGTGCAGATAGGAATTTTTATCCTTTAAATTCTGCAAGCTTTGTGTTAATTGGACCATTGACTGATCTTTACATGCTAGTCAAATTTGAATTTTTTCACAGACATTAAGAATTTTTTTTTGTCCTGAGAAGAAACGATAGAATTTTATTAAAACACTGGAAGGAATTACAACAAGTGGATAAGAAATCCACTAACTAGCAAAACTAGCTGATTGATCAAGGTGATTGATTAGTATTGGGGAAGAACTCTGTTTTCATTTCTTTTTTTTCTTCTATGGTGAACCATAATTGTAAGTGTTGTGATTGGTTTGCAAGACCTATCTTCTCTGGTATTCCTAGGTGGTCTAGGAGTAGAATTAGTAAAGAAAGAGTACCATCCTAGTTTTACTAGGTTTAACCACCTAGTCTTCTTTTTGAAAAATGAAAAGATATGTAACCCCACGGCCTATGTGATATAATTAGGCTGTTTCTGAGAGCACATTATCATGCAAAATACGTATTGAGAGGTATGGTGTGAGAGAGGGATTGTCAGCACAGCTTTGGGGTTTTAGCTAGGGTTCAACTAGTTCCTGTAATCTGTGCTATTCGTCTTCTCAAGGGATCACATGGGGAAGTAGGCAAAGTTAGCCGAACCTCAACAACAATGATTTGTGTGTTGTGAGTGCTTGTTTTGTTTGAGTTCATATTATTCTGCAATATCGCATATTTAGCTTCCTAGGGTTTGTGTTTCATCACAGTACAACATTACCAAGATCTTAGAGGTTAAGAGAAATTATGGGTCACCTTCACAATTTTTAGAATATATGTGATCTTTGGGACAAAATTTTTTTTTTTGAGGTATGGCTTCGGTGTTCAAAGATTGAGTTTCAGCTTGAGACTGAGGAAGGAATGGTATGTAATCAATCAGTTAAACTCTTTGAAAGTAAGAATCAGAAGAAAGAGAGCGAGATTCAACAATGACAGGACTATGTATGGTTAAGGTTCATGTATGTCGTGGTTGAAGCTTGATAGGGAGAACCCTGTAAGTTGGGTGATTCCTGCAGGCTGTTATTCTATCATATGTGAAAAGCGTAATGATGGACTGGAAGGAGCTGTGTACTAGGATTTATTCAGACTTTGGTTTATACCAAGTTTCTAAAAGATGCTAGGCACTAGTTGGACTGCTGGCTAGGGATGCCTAGGCGGACTAGGCAAATTTAAGTAAATTTATTATATATAATATCGTATAAATAAGTGCATTCTTATACTTAAACAGTACACAATTGCATTGGGATACATCAATTGAAAAATAGAATGATATATAGATAATAAAGTATTAGAACATAATGAAAACTTCAGGAACAAGCATATAATGTGTGTTCATCATCTAAGTGTTCAACAAATCTCTTACAATTTTGTGAAAAAATTAAATGCAAAATGAAGGTTATCTATTTTCGGTCTAAGTGAGAGTCGCGACGTAGGTGGGTGCCTAGGCGGATTTGGGCGGGCTAGATGGGGATTTTTAGAACAGTGGTTTATATTGCTTAGGCTGTGGTAGTGTCTATTGTACAGATCGAATTATGATTTGTAATCTTTTTCTAGTTACTTGCAGTCTTAAGTAGAATTATTGGATCTCGGTTTCTCCTGAGTTCAAGAGAATCTCCCTCTCCCTAATTTGGCTTGATTGGAAGGGGGCAGCCTTAAAGTTTTTATTAGGGTGTTTCCTTCTCTTTTGGAGCTGTTTGTGTTTATTCTGTTTTGTGTTCGGGGGTGGACCATTCTCTTTGTTCCTCGTCTTCCTTCTTTTTAATTATACAGTCTTTCTTTTTTCAAATAAAACAAGTGCTTCCTAGGATAAAGTTCTCTTCATATCAAGTCAAAAGGGCCTTTAATCAACTTCCTCGCCTTTTCCTATTAAGGCATTCTTAGAAATAAATCATGTATTACACCATATAGTTTCCTTTAATCACCATCATTTATTTCATTATTTGATAAACTCTAGTTTTTTGTGCAGAAAACTGCCAGAAGCGGTCTTCATATTCTCCTTGGAGGAATTTGTGCTTTGACAGTTGTGGTTTTCTTTCGCTTTGTAAGTAATTATACCTTTCTCGTTTTTGCTCTGTCTATGTGTGGATTTCATTAGACATTATTAAAATGGACAAACTCTTATGGTTTGCCTTCCTTCCCACCACCCTTCTTCCTCCCTCTTTTCCCCCCATATACTTTCCCGTTATCTCAAGCACAAAAAGTGAAAACTAAAAACGAACCATAAGTTGTGATTTCCTTGCCTTCCACCTTGTACTTAGATTTGAATTGATATTCATAGGTTGAAGAAAGTTGTGTTATGCTTTGTTTTCAACCAATCGTAGATTTGAGGGAATTTTGATTCTATGCAACAACTACTGGAATCATTATGGACCGAATGAGACCGTAATAATCATTTTGGTTTTATATGTTGCAGTTTGTGCTCACCAGGATCAAGTATGGACCTGCACGCTACTGGGCAATATTATTCGTTTTCTGGTTTCTAGTTTTTGGTATCTGGGCGTCACGGACACATGGTTCCCATACAACATAATTTTCTTGGATTTTTTTTTGTTTGTGTTTGTGTTTGTGTTTGTTTAACCATTGTCTTCCAAAGAAACTCAACACAACAGAATTTATATATATTTCAGGGTTTATTTGTTAGCCTGTCTTTGATGGGTGCATTTTCTCTACTTCAATTTTTCCTTTTTGAAGAACAAGACATCTGCAATTACATTACAAGATATGGCCAACAACAAAAGAAAATGGAACATCATGTGACGTATAACATGGTCTCATGAACCCCATCGGATCTAATACAAAACTCCGGCGCCACAACAGTCATGCAAAGGCAGTGGTGCTTCTGGATCATTTTACTAGTGTGTGATATACGGTCGTAGCTGCTGTTGTGCGACTCAGGCAGACAGAAGTGAGAGGTTTAAGATTCGAATGAAAACTGAGAAACGTCACGACTACCATGAAAGTAATGAAAATTGGTCGTGTGTGCCGTTTGTGGATGGGCTTTCATGTCTTTTTACTTAAGTCTGTATGAGCTCCGCATGCCCAAAACAAAAAATGAATGCCGAGAGTGAGGGAGAGCGATTGAGGCGTCGCAATTTTGTGAATCGCATGACGTGATGGTTGAAGGTTGGATTCTATTTTTATTTAGAGAATGAATCCAACCATCATCGACCATACCATGTGATCTACGGAGTGATTTAAAATAAGTCTTCTAGCAACACCCTTTTTAGGTCGATTCGAAAGACACTAACCAAACCAACCAAACCAACCAACATTCAACAATTTAACAGGAAATTGCAGTCATGTGATAACAAATAATATGGAAACTAAGAAAGCATCCAAACTGAGAAGAACAAGTGGCAAAACCTATATGTGTGTGTGTGTGTGTGTGTGTATTTCATGCCGGGAATTGGAAGAAACATTTTATTTAACATTTGGAAACGTTTACTGCAAAGCATTAGAAACAGAGTAAATAAAGTCCAAGAAGCCTGTCCCCTTAAGAAGACCTTTCCCAGTCAAGAGTTCAAAATCTAACAACAACAGGAACCCGATCACTGCCGCCTTCCCGTTTATTATTTCATTCCTCCCCGTGAAGCCGAACGCCGCGTCCAGATCCTCATCCACCACCATTTTCACCTGACATCACACACCATACGCGAACACGTTAAATTCAGACTAGACCACTGTGATTTGTCTGTAAGAAGGAATGGCTCGTTGCACTTGCACCGCAAGTTATCAATAAGAAGAAAAACAAAGTACCTCATCCACATTGACATCAGCGGCTGTAAAACCAGGTTGAGCCTTGCCACTGAAGACAATCTCGGCAGCGGCGGCAGCATCAACGGAAGCAGGGCCGAGGCTGATGTAAATGTTCTCTTCATCAGTTTTGACGGGGTAAACGAAAAGCGTCCGCAAAGCGGGTGTAAGAACTCTCAGCACGGGGTTTTTCGGATACCACTCCTTGATGCCGCCGGTGAGCAGGTCAAATGTGCTATCAGTTGATGGGCAAACTATACACCCATCCTGCACCCACAATAGTTAACTCTTAATTCGTTATTCAATCAACTACAAAAATGTGCTAAGTGTATAATTGCTACCTACCTGGGTGAGCTTGGCATTGAGAAGGCCTTCGCTGTAAGCCCCTTCGGCAGGGGACCGATTCTCTATAGCATACACCTGATCCTTGTACCACAGCAACAGTATGGCCTCCCCATCCTGAATTATCACCCGCCGCTCCCCCCTTGGCAGCGCCGCCAGTGGCACCACCGGCACCCAGTTGTCTCCTCCTCCTCCCCCTGACGCCGACCCTTCCTCCACGGACACCTCCATCGCCTTGCACCTCGTCGTCAGGATTACCCGAGAGGTAGAATGGTAACTCCCCACAGTAACGGATGATGATACGGGAATTGGATTAGCAGGAGCATGAGCATGGTAAAAGCTGTGCGGCGGTTTCTGGGAAGTGAGGAGGGGGCGGGCAGATGCAGATGCAGCAGGTGTAGGACGAGCACTAGGGTGGTAACTTCGGGGCAATGCCCGGGCAAAGGGTGAGGCAGTGGCCATGGAAGGAGGACTGGTAATGTTTGGGTAGAGGAAAGAGGGAAGAGCGAGTAGCAGGAGAGGAGAGGAGAGGTGTGGAGGGGAGGGAGAGAAAGTGAACGGTCAGCATCCTTCCGGACCCACGGCAAGTAGATATTGGATAATTCAAAGGTTGAGCAAAGGAATGGTCCTTGAGCGAGCCACAACCCCTATTATTTGGCCTTTGGATTTTTTTTTTTTTTTTTTTTTTTTTTTTTAACAAGTGATTTTTTCTTTAACAAATGATATCATCTACATTAAATGAAGGGCGTGTGTTTAGCTTCACAATAAGTTAGTAATAATATTGTTCAAATTCACTTTTGGCGAGAATCGAACCTAAGCACTTACAAGTGAAGAGGAGTATTACCGCCCCAATTAATGTCTAGGCGTTTGAAAATTTAGACATGGCGCTTAGACATCCGCCTAAGTTGCGACTCACTTAGACATAAAATAGATAACTTTCATTTTTCATTATTTTTTTTAATAAATAGTAAGAAACTTGTTGAATATTAAAATGAACACAAATGATATGCTTGTTCCCTATGTTTTCATTATGTTTCAATACTTCATAATAAATATGTCATTCTATTTTGTAATTTATGAAGTAATCATATATATTTTAAGTATAAACATATACTTATTTACACGAAATATAACTGTTGACTACAAAAATTACAAAACCTACGTGGCGCGCAGGCCGAGTAACTAATGAGCTAACTACGTCCTTCGGTTGAATGCGGGGCGTGCCAACTCGTCGGCCGAGCTCGGCCGAGGAGTAAACTGTGATGTTGTCGCGTTGGGTGCGCTGTTGACTTCTGTATCTTGCGATTGCGACTGAGGAAGGAACGCTCTCGGCCTCTGGGTTCTATAGCCTGAAGACAAGGCTACTAATTCTACGGAGTTCACAAGTCGTTGGTCCCTGATTCGGTCACTGTGATTATATTCGTAAGAGTATAAGCACGCCGAATCGAGACCAAACTATATGGGCACAAGTACTCGAATGTGATGTATGTCTTAATGGTAAACGTAGTTCGGCCGTCGGAATGCCGAACCCTGAAGCTTACTTGCGAGTATCCAATCATAAAACCACTCGGCGTCCAATGCGCCGAGCAATGCAATTCGTAACACCCAACTATGCCGGAAAGGCTTAGTAGGATGACCTCTACCAACAAAAGTTCGAAAACCTTTCTCGGCCGAGACTTGGATAGATAATCGGTCGACCTCGACGCAGTGCTGTTTATCCAAACTGAAGGTGCTCCTCGGTCGGCTGATTCTGCGGCAGCAGTGCTGTTTATCCAAACTGAAGATGCTCGCCGGGTGCCTCCACAGTGCTGTTTATCCAAACTGAAGATGTGTTAGCAGGAAAGGAAAAGGAAAAATTCTCAAGATGTTTGAGAGGTTTTGCGCAGGGCAATTGTGTGCTGATTCTGAAGGTCCTTTCTATTGCGCAATTTCTTGTATTTATAGCACCTCGCTCCTTGAATCCCATTCTGATTTGGATTGGGAGTCCTTGTCCCATCTCACCTTTAACTCGAACAATCCTAGTCCTACTGGGATTCTGAATTCTCCTCCTTTTGAGGCTTTATCCCTTACCGGTCGAGAATCCTGGTCGCACCAGGATTTCCTCGACCTTTCCTCATTCATCTGGACTACTTAGGATAGGATCTGGCCGACCCTGCCAGTTGGTCCGGGTTTCATTATTTGGCCCATAGCCTGTGTCATTACCTTGGGCCGAGCACATCTTGCTGCTCGGCCCAATCATAATATTTTGGGCCCAAACAATAACATATTTACTTAAATCCGCCTTGTCCGCCTAGGCGTCTAGGCACTAAGTCCCAGCCCACTGCCCGATTAGCACCTAACGTCTTTTAAGGGGAGAGAGTGGGCTTAGTCTCACAATGAGCTAGCAATAATGTGGTTCAAACTTGCATAAGGAGTAAATACGGGGTAACTCGGTGTCTCTTATACCAACTTTATAAAATCATTAATTTATCATCTCAACTCCAACTCCGTTAAGTTTTCCATCCAACATAAGTCATGTGCATGTGTCTTGCACATGACTTGTGTTTAGGGTTATTTCGATCATTCTAATACCTTACTTCCCTTTTATTAAGTTGTATTCAACAAAAAACTGTAGGGTTTCTCAGGTAACGGAACAATACTTTATATACGATAGCAATGAAATGATCATGCAATGCACTTTCTTCTGGTTATTCCAAATATGTAATGATACACGAGTGAGAGTTTGCATTTTAGCATGTCATGATGACATAATTTCATAGGGCTCTATAAATGAGAAACAGGATGACGTTTTGTGTCATAAATTGAGTTGTAGATACATATGTGCTAAAGAAAAGTAAAAAAAAAAATTAAGGGTTTGTACTAAATAAAAGTAAAAAACTTGTAAAAAGATGTTAAAAATGACCTAAATAACTTTGAACACAAGTCATGTGCCTCGCACATAACTTGTATTGGATGAAAAACTTAACAGAGTTAAGATAAGATGACAAATTAATGATTTTATAAAAATGGTACGACAAATTGCTAAAAATTTTAATTTATATAATAAATTGAAAAATATGAGCTAATTCTTATGGCATTTCAAAAAATTTCTCTTTTAGGAAATTCATCAATTTTATATACTTAGACCAACTCCAATGGTGGGCTAAAAGCCAAATTAGCCCCCAAAATTTCCCCCCAAACCCACTCCAACCCAAGGAAAAAATTGGGGCTAAATGCTAAATGCTAAACCAAGGCCAAATTCCCCCCAAAATTTAGCACAGAAATCAGAGTGGATTCCACCCAATATTTATCGGAATTTAAATTTTTTTAGATTAAAATGTTTATAAAATTAATTTACGATAGTCTACATATTTATTTATTTTTTAAATTTAATTTAACCAAAAAAAATAGCCTAAATTCATTCTTTAATAATCCCGGGCTAAAATTTTAGGCTAGAATGGTTGGAGCAGAAAAGCTGTTTTTGGGCTAAAAGCTAAATTTTCCGGGCTAAAATATTTGGCTTTTAGCCTAACCATTGGAGATGGTCTTAAGAGATAAATTGGATGAAAAAAAAAATAGTTTAGGGGTAAATCAGTAAGACCATCTCCAACAATGGGCTAAATGCCAAATTTCCCCCCAAATTTCCCCCCCAAACCATCTCCAACCCATGCTAAAACATTGGGCTAAATGCCAAATGTTAAAGTTGGGCCAAATTCCCCCCAAAATTCCCCCCCCCGCGCGACTGGACTCACTGGCCCAAAGGCCAGTCTCGGCCCGTTCACTCGCGTACGCGCCCCACGCGGTGCGCTTGCAGACGTTGCCCGACAGGGTGGGCCCCGCTGTCAGCGGGTTGTCGGCCACCCAGCTGAAGTCCAACGGCTATTTTTGCAATCCAACGGATGTGTTTCAAGGACCGTTGGTTGATCCAACGGTCCAAATTCAAATTTGATTTTTTAAAATATGTTATTTTAAAATACATTGAATCCAACGGCTGAGATCAAATATAATCAAATCTAACGGTAAAAAAAAAGATCTAACGGCCCAAATTTAAATCTAACGGTTAAAATAATTAAAAAAAAATATTTAACTCAAAATTCACCTAAAAACTCTATAAATACCTATGTATTTGTTCAAACATCCACACAAAACTCAAATTTCTCTTACAATTCTTCCAATTTATCTTTCCACCATTTCTTTCCATTTCCAAATTGTTCAACATGGCAAGAGAGCATATTAGAGGTCGTAATTGGACTTGTGAGGAAGATGTTGCTCTATGCTTGGCATGGGTTTCTGTTAGCGAAGATGGTGCAGTTGGCACTAATCAAAATAAGAAGGTTTTGTGGGATAAAATCATTGCAAAGTTTCAAGAAAACTGCAATGGTAGCAGGCGGGAAGGTGGTGGTGTTTATATAGAGGATGATTTCTGAAAGTTTGGTGGTGAATGGTTGGTTGAAAGTTTGGTGTTTATATAGTTGGTGAAAGTTGAAAGTTTGGTGTTTATATAGTTGGTGAAAGTTGAAAGTGTGGTGTTCAACGGTTGGTGAATTGAAAATTTGGTGTTCAAAGTTTGGTGAATTGAAAGTTAGCCTAGGGTTGAAAGATTGGTAAAAGTTGACGGCTTGCTTTGTGGGAAATTTAGTGATTTTTCAATATTTATCGGAATTTAAATTTTTTTAGATTAAAATGTTCATAAAATTAATTTACGATAGTCTACATATTTATTTTTTTAAAAAAAATTAATTTAACAAAAAAAATAGCATAAGTTCATTCTTTAATAATCCCGGGCTAAAATTTTAGGCCAGAACGGTTGGAGCAGAAAAGTTGTTTCTGGGCTAAAAGCTAAATTTTCCGGGCTAAAAAATTTGACTTTTAGCCCAACCATTGGAGATGGTCTAAGGAGATGATAGTTCATGCGGTAAATGATTGTTTAAAGAAATAAGGTGAGAGAGATCAGAAAGGAAAAAAAGGAAAAAGAGAAGATGGGACGGAGCATATCGAAGTCGCCGTCGTACAGCAGAGGTCGAAGCCGGAGAGATCGAAGCCGCTCACCCTACTCCACCTCCAGGTCACTTCTTAACTCTCATTATCCCATATTTTGCAACTTAAACTCTCCAATTTTCAAATATTTACAAGTTTCTGATTAATTGGTTATCGGGAAACACAGAAGAAATCGTTCGAGTGCCTCCCCGCGCCGCCGTAGGAGTCGGTCGGCAAGTTACAGGCGACGCAAGAGTCGGTCTCCGACACCCAGACGACCTAATAGACGACATAGAAGCAGGAGCAGAAGCAGAAGCAGCTCTTTGTCTCCTCCTTTGCCCAAATCTCACAGTCCACGCCTGACCTCAAACGAACGCAAAAATGCTGCTGACAAACTCAAGAAAGAGGAGGAAGAAAAAATCAGGTCTATTTTCTTGATTGTATAAACGATTCTTAATGTGTTGGTAGTTGGTATATGTGAATTAGATAATGTTTGGTATATGTGAATTAGATAATGTTACAAGAATCGGATGAAATGTGCTATTTTGCATAGCATTTCGGTTTGGATAGTTTGCGGATTTTACTTTTGCGGACCGTGTTGTGTTTGTTGCTTCTGTTGAATATGCCGGTTTCTCTAATAGGCGGCAGCAGGAGGCCGAACTCAAACAGTTGGAAGAAGAGACTGCAAGGAGACTTGAGGAAGCGATTCGGAAAAATGTGGAGGAGAGGCTGGCTTCAGATGAAGTTAAGTTAGAGATTGAGAGGCGTATAGAAGAAGGTCGGAAGAAATTGTTTGAGGATGTTAAAGCTCAACTTGATATGGAAAAGGAAGCTGCTCTTGTTGAAGCAAGGCGGAAAGAAGTAAGCAGCTTGGCTTCTGGCCTTAATTTTATCTCCTTTCATTTGCGTTGCCACGTGAACGCAAATATGACATTCCGTCTTAGCTTTGGGAATTTTGGCCCTAAAATAGTGCTGTTGAATGAATAAACTTGATCAAATAGCGCCATTATCGTCAATGTTTTCACATTCTATCATCTAATGTTTTTATTGATTGTGGTTCCATACATTGCTCAGGAACAAGCTCGGAAAGAGAGAGAAGAGCTTGATAAGATGCTGGAGGAGAACCGGAGGAGGGTGGAAGAGGCTCAGAGAAGAGAAGCTTTGGAACTGCAGACCAAAGAAGAGGAACGGTATCGAGAGTTGGAGCTGATTCAGAGACAAAAAGAAGAGGCTGCGAGGAGAAAAAAACTGGAAGAGGAAGAAGAACACGCAAATCTGATGAAGTTGTCAAGTAAGAGTAAATCTCGGTCGAAGTCTTTTGGTGGTGGTTTTTAACGGTGGCATGTGCTGATCATTTTGTACTGCTATCTGCTACCATCAAATACTATTGACTGCAAGTCTAATATTTGCCAAATATTAGTGAGATATCTTGTTTTATCCTACACATAGTTGTTTCTCTCTTTGATTGCCTCCGGATTTGAAGGTCCTCAAATTGTCACTTGTTGACATGTGTTTATTCGGTTAAGGTACTAGCCTACTAGCTCAAAAAATGAAAGCTGAAACTGGAAATGAAATCGAACAGCCCAAAATCTCCTTACCTTATCGTAATTATTGATCCTCCTCCTGTTTACCTTGTCATCTGGCAAATTCCCACTCTATTCCAATCTAAATGCAGAATACCAACACCTCCTTACAGTATCAGTTCAAATGTATAAAACTTAAAGAGTTGCGCTTGACGTAAACCTACTCAGCAGTCCTGTGCTTACTATGTATAGGATGATCTCTTAACAATGACAGGGAGAGTTGTTGAAGCTTTCTTCCCATAAGAAAAACTACACAAGTTATGTTATCAGAAACATTCAATAACACAGGATGCCAAATATTTTGCTTGTTTTGGAGTGCAGAAAGTAGTGAAACTTGGAATATCTCAGAGTAAATCTCCTCTCTGTTAGCATCTACCATTTGACCTAAGTTTGGGATTGAGCTAGGGGAAGAACTTGACGCGGGCGTTTTAATTCCAAATGTGGGACTTGGATCATCTTCTTCTGGATTGGCAGCTTTCTTCAAACTTGGTTTGCCATTGTCTTCTGGTGCTGGAAGGGAACTCTATTGTATTTGAGCGGTGATCGGTAGATTTCCTGCTCTTGAACATATTCATGTAGCCAACCATGAAAATCTCCTATTTTCTTAGTTGTGGAATTAGTTTGTTAAGCAGGCTTGAGTGTTTAGTTAATTTATCCATATCAGGAAGGCAGATAGATCCTATGCGACTCGGTTCCGAAACTTTGAAGATCCACCACCAGAAGAGGAGCCATGTAGCTTATTTTCGTCTCTTGATGTTTCAGTTTGTAATCAGAGGATCTGTAAAAATCCCAAAACGATTTAGACAAATCTAAAGTGAACTCCAACATTCACCCATATCAGAGCCAAAGAAAATCCACACCCATAGGAAACAAAATCCGGTCACAAAGACCGGTACCTAAACAACCAGGGGTTCGACAAAACCCGGCCACAAACTGGGGGAAAACAAAACTCTCTACAACGAAATGGGGGAGAGAGGCGCCCGGCCTTATTACCGGATGCCAGAAAAGAGAAGTTTGACGGTGGTGTTCCGCGCTGTGTGTTTTTAGATGATGAAACTTTCTGTGTGGCTTCATTATTTGATTTGAATTTTTATTACTCGTTGATCATGCTATCGGTTATTTCAGTAGCACGTTGTGGATCACCCCGAGTTCTGTGTGGCTTCATTATTTGATTTGCATTTTTATTACTTGTTGATCATGCTATCAGTTATTTCAGTAGCACGTTGTGGATCACCCCGATAGACTCTACAATTTTGTAGCTTCATTTTATCAAATGAAAATGGATCATAGACGGTGTAGTTGAATAAATTGTTTTGATGGCAGATGCTTTAAAAGAAGGGAACTTAACGAAAAGCTCTTGATACTGTTCATTTTAACAAAAAACCACATTTTTACACTAAAAAGTCAATCATGATACTATTCACTTTACCCTTTAGTTTGTCGTTATCGTTAAAACTTAAAGTTTTCAAATCATTTTCATTAGTTTTCCTTTAAAAGAAAGGTTTTCTCTCAAATTGGAAAACATTGGAATTGATTATTGCATTTGATGTTTTGAGTTCGGTTTTTTTATGGACTCGTTTGGATGTACTTTTAAAATAATTGAAAGCCGCTTTTAGAGAAAATGTTTTTGGATTTCAAAAGTACTTTAAGTGCTTTCTGCAAGAAGTACCAATTATATGCTTCTTCCAGAAATCATTTAAGTGTTTTTTCAGGATTTACTTGCATTTTTACTAAGGATTGGTTCTAAAAATATTTTCATCAAAAACGCTTTCAATCATTTTAAAAGCACATGTATATGTCACATCACATTTTTTTTATAATTAAATTTAAGGCTTAATTATAATAAGTATTTATGAATCTTATCCCTAATTTAATTTCAGTCGCAACTTTCTATTAGTTTCTTTAGCGCTTGAACTCAACAATGTGTTGTATTATTGGTCATTTTCACTCAGGTTGTCTATACTTTTATTAAATTTAAAGGTATTTTAAGAACTTTTAAGACAAATTTGTGAAAAGTAAAAATGTAGAACAAACCAATATTTGTAAAATATAGTTAACCCAAAATATAACATATAGAAGAGTGGCTTGGGTTGCACCTCTCATTTTGTTTGGATCTTTTACCTTATTTTTTGTTTGTTTATTGGGTTTCTTTTAAGCCTTGTATTATTGTACTAGTTTTTTAATATATTGGATTTTTTTTTTAGTACATCGATATTTTTACATTAAAGGAGAAAAAGTTCGGCAAAGCCACATAAGGGACAGCCGGAGAAGGATTCTCTTCTCTCTTTTTTTTCCATTCCCTTCCTATTTGAATGGTTACGGTTAAGCCACGTCAACATTTTATATTAATTTTTTTTATAGAAAGAAAAAGACAAAATAGAGAGTAAGAGGAGGGGATGAAAAGATAAGGAGAGAGAATTCTAGTTTATGGGCAGCTTAATTTGGTATCAAATTATCCATCTACGAGATTCGAACTTGAGACCTCTAGTTTTTTAATATATTGAAAGTTTTTTATTTTTATTTTTTAGTACATCGATATTTTTATACTAAAGAGAGTCAGAGTTAAGCAAAGCCACACAATAGGTAGCCTAATTTAGTATCGAATTTACCATCCACAAGATTCAAATATGAAACCTCTCACTTAAGTAAAGATGAATATCACCAGAGTATAGTATTGATTGAGATATTGAAAGTTGTATTGATAAAAAAAAAAAAAAAAAAAAAAGGAGCGGAAGAAAATCGAAGAAAAGACTAAAGCTGTGGGTCCCGCCGAAATCAAAGACTGGAAAAATTAGATCAAATCCCAAATAATAATAATAATAATTTGGAAAGGGCGGCGGCCGGGAGGGGGAAGGAGGTAGAGAGCACAGAAAGAGATATTTGCCTATCTTCTCTACTACTGCACGTACAGATTCAGGTGAAGTGGCAGTGGAAGTCCAACCAGCATGGGTGACGGCAGCGCAAGCGGCAACAGAGACCATAACAACAATCACAACCACCACAACAACCACAGCCATGGCCACGGCCACAACCACGGCGGTGGTTATAGTAACAAGCCGGAGTGGCTGCAACAGTACGATCTGATAGGGAAGATCGGGGAGGGCACGTACGGCCTGGTGTTCCTCGTGAGGATCAAGTCTCCTTCCAACCGCGGAAAGTCCATCGCCATCAAGAAATTCAAGCAGTCCAAGGACGGCGATGGCGTCTCCCCCACCGCCATCCGCGAAATCATGGTCTTCTTCTTCCCTTTTTTTCCCTTCAATTTATTTACTTTTGAATTGCAGACCCTAACGTTCGAAATTTCGTTTGGGAATTTTGTTCAAACATTAAGAAAAATGATTGAGAGTTTTTTCCTTTCCTAATTTTTCCTGGTTTCCCATGAATATTACTTTTAAAAGAAAATAAATTTGAAAAATGGTGATGTTTTTGGATTGTTCAGTTGCTGCGGGAAATATCGCACGAGAATGTGGTGAAGCTTGTGAATGTTCACATCAATCACACAGACATGTCCCTCTATCTGGCTTTCGATTACGCAGAACATGACCTTTATGTGAGTATCTGATGTTTTCTCCTTTTCTTCTTTCGTTCATTTGAAATGGGATTCTCGAGTTCCGCTGATCGAAGAAAATGTGGTGGGTTGCGTTCATTTGCTTCACAGGAAATCATTAGACATCACAGAGACAAAGTTAATCAAGCTATCAGTCATTACACTATTAAGACATTGCTCTGGCAGCTGCTCAATGGACTCAATTATCTCCATAGGTATGGCTTTGTTTGTTTGACATTTGCCGCTGCTGATGTTTCGTTCTGTTGCTGTATCTACATTATTGTTTGACTACTTGTGTGCAACCTTCCTTGCAGTAATTGGATCATTCATCGTGATTTAAAGCCATCTAATATCTTGGTATGATTTGCATAACCTTTCCACTCTCTTCTTGATGCAACTTTGTTTGACTTTGTGTTGCTTACAAAGGGTGAACAATCATAAATTTTTGCTACGTTTACTCGATTTTTTGTTCATAGGTTATGGGCGATGCAGAGGAACAAGGAGTTGTGAAAATTGCGGATTTTGGACTTGCAAGGATATATCAAGCTCCTTTGAAGTCGTTGTCTGACAATGGGGTAAGGAGGCATGTTTGTATCACATAACTGCATTGTCAATGTCTGCAGTACCGTGAATTATAGTTTATACATTCCCTAACTGTATTAAACTTTTGGTTTTTAGTGGTTTATGTATCAGCATCCCCTTTTATTCCCTTTTTATTCTCCTTTTCTTCATTTTTTTTGTTTGTTTTTGTTTTGGTTTAAGAAACACTCCTGTTTGTTACCATTGGCAGTAATGCATTCATATCTTCACAACTACCATAACTTCCACAAGGAAAGCAATTTCTATTCCATGTGGAATTTTTTAAAGGTTGGCATCCACTTGCTGTGGAAGTATGTGATCCTGTATGTATTCATTATATGTGATAAAGTGGGATAGAAAAACGTATGTGACTGAGCTTTTAGTTTCCATAAAAGGCTGCTTTGGTTGGGGCAATAATTGGGTTATCTCAATATGATTATATTAGTTACCACTGTCTACAAACTCGCCTTGAGGTGTGGGTCGAGTGAGGTACAGAAAATCACCTTAGGTGTACTGTCCTTAGCGAAAGCCAGTAAAAATGCATGCCTTGATGACAAGTCGGCGAGAGGCGCATACCATCTTCCATGAGGTGGCTCAAGGTGTTGGCTGAAAGAAGAGATGAACTCCCCCACAAGAAATAAGTGAAACTGTATCGTCCTGCAGTTGGGGGTCTTCCTTTGCTGAATCACCGTGCTTCATTTTGCTTCGTTTTGGGTTTTCTGGTCTTGGGCTTGTGGTGTTTTAGTATAAGAATTAAAAGATGTGGTCCCATGTAGCGACTGGCAAAGTAATGTTACGTATGTGTGCAGCACACTTCCACTTGAAGATAATTTTAGTTATGAAAAAATTTCTGTGTGATTCATAACTAAACTTTTGAGACCCGAATATCAAAATTGAAAGACTACTAATACTATAAAGCAAGATGCTTAACTTGTAATTTTACTCTTTCTATGAGAAGAGTTGAACAAAAGTGTAACAGTAGAATACAGCGAGGGTATCTATATCATATATAAAACTTATACATACATACTTACAGATTATTTTTATTAATTAAAATGATTGATTCAGAAAGCTAATGCCTAAATGCCACAAGGCTTACACCTTGCCCTTTAAATTATTATTAGAGACAGAGTGATGCACCTGAGAGTGGGGTGAATTGCAAGGATTTTCAAAGTCACTGAGCATTCAGTGGTTGAATTGAAGATGATCTGTTTGTTGATCTTTTTACCATTATATGTTTTTCTGTAATTTGCTTCTCATTTTTTTTCCATTATTGGTTTGTTAGATCTTTTAAATTTTTGGAGCTTCTTTTTCCTGTTACATCTACTGTACTTGGTCAATGCCCTTTTCTTATTGTTTTGAGTAATTAAACCTTTTTGCAGCCCCTAATTGATTGCTATTTTCCATTTGCATTGAAACAATAATTCAGACTCTAACCCGTTAGATATATTACTTGCAGGTTGTGGTAACCATTTGGTACCGTGCGCCGGAGTTGCTCCTTGGGGCTAAGCACTACACAAGTGCTGTTGGTATCCTCCTACACCAAGTTATTTATCCTATTTGTATTAAGTTCATGTGGTTAACATGTGATTACAACCATGAGCGCACATTCGTAGATTACCTAAATGCTAAATAGTTTCTAAAGGCCTGCCTCTTTGTTGTTTGAATATTTTTATTTTCAGTTGATGTAATTATGTTCTCTGGTGTATTGAATTATATGAGCAGATTAATTTTAAAGACAATGTTTTCTTAATATGAAATTTAGATATGTGGGCTGTTGGATGCATCTTTGCCGAGCTTTTGACTTTGAAGCCATTATTTCAAGGTGCAGAAGTCAAAGCTATACCAAATCCTTTTCAGGTTGTGAAACGTTGAATGTATTTACATTTTTGTACACTTTTATTACCAGTACTGTTTTAAGTTTTGTAATTGTATCACATCTTCTAATAATAGAGTTCACATGTGCAGCTTGATCAACTTGACAAGATATTCAAGGTCTTAGGTAATATGTTTTACCTTTTAGGCCATTTATCTTTTATAAGTTCCATGGAGCTACCTTACAGTCAACAATTATCACATCAGGTCACCCGACACTAGAAAAGTGGCCAGCACTTGCAAACCTTCCACACTGGCAACAAGATGTGCAACATATTCAAAGCCATAAATAGTAAGCGTTCTCATATCTAATGCATGTAAAACTTGTTTAGTTAAACATATAAAAAAGAATATAAACCTTGTGCCAGGAATCTGAAGAAATTATTTTTGTCTAATTTGTCATTCTCTAGTAACTCCCATGTTCGGCTTCATTTTTTTTTTTTTTTCTCCCTTTCCTTGATCAAACTAACCAGTTCTTTTTTCCTGCTGTATGCTTTCGACAGTGATAATACTGCATTGCATAGTGTAGTTCACCTCTCTCCAAAAAGTCCTGCATATGACCTCCTATCTAGGATGCTCGAGTAAGTGGTGCCTTTTAAGTTTACAAGAATCTCATTTTGTTATTGTTGAGCACATGGAGAGGATGAGACTCATAACTGTACCCAAAAAATTGTAATTCTCATTTTACCAATTTTTCTAGTTTTTTTCTAATTTTGTAGGATTCTAATTACAAAGTACAGAAAGTTATTCTTACAAATTTGGAGTGATGATACATCATGAATTGTTTTAATAAGATTTATGAATTGAGTGCCCTATTAATTGCTAATAGAGTATTGTCATACGGAATCCTTGAACATGGTCTCTTGACTGTAGAAGTGTAGATATTTGCTGATAATTCAAGATTCAAGGATTAGATATGAGTACAATATAGTTAGAGGCCTAAAATGAATGATTTCTGTGGACTATAGTAAGGTTCTTAATCCCTATCTTTTCATCCAAGTTTCAGAGAAAGGTTCTCTCTCTCTCCACTCCAGAGAGTAGTTTCTTCTGATTACAACAGCAGATAAAGTATTTTAAGACCTTGACTGGATTGTCTTTACTACCATGCAAGTACCAGGATAAATGACAATTAGAAGGGTACTAAAGGAACATTCTCTTCCTTGGGATTTCACTGACCAATTATATAACAGTTTGAGGCTGATCGATCATGTTAGTCCCCATATTTTCCTTGTTTGGCTGGTGACTTGGAATTGGATTTTTCGATGAGATGGCTAGTTTGTACTTTAGTAAATCATTTGAAGGAACTGTTAGCAACTATAGATGTATAATGGAGATGATGGATGTAAGATGAGGATACCATGTCTACTGTTGTTCGGTTTTTCACATTGGTGAATCAGTGGTGAACTGGTTTGGACATGCTTTTTTGTTCACAAGTTGTAAACCAGAAGCTACAAGTAAATTCAGATATTTCAAGCTAATTTGTATATGAATTATGAATAGCAGTTAAAGGTGTCAATTTGGATCTACAAATTTAAACGCCAATTCTTGGTATTGGTTGCCTTTCTTGTCCATGTGCTTGCTAATTTTTGTACTAATTTTTTGTCAAGATTCGGGAAGGTCGGAGCTTCTGACTCAAAATAAATTTTTATTTGATTTGTTTTTGTCTCTTCATGTCTATCATACAATGCCGAAATTTTGATAAAATTTACAGTTGTTTGACTTAAAAAAGTGTTGAACTATAACTTACAATATGTTTCTGTAGTAATTAGTTACAGTGGCATATAATTTGTAAGGTTTTGCAGGTTGATCTTGCATTACTTTTTTCTTAATGAAGATAAATTAATTGTCTGTTTCTTTCCCCAAACAACTGTGTGCAGATATGATCCTCGAAAGCGTATAACAGCTGCACAAGCATTAGAGCATGAGTAAAGCTTCTTGGTTTTTTTATCTCTCATATTATGCTTATTATTCTTCCTCCATCCTTCCCTTTCCCTCACCCTCATGATCACCTGTGAATGAATTATTTTTACAAATTAATTAATACAGGATTCAGGATTTTAATATTCTTAAATAAAAATTGTTATACGCAAAAATATAATTGCTTTCTAAAAATATTCATATTTTTTGCTTTCAGGTATTTTCGTATTGAGCCTCTACCAGGTCGCAAGTAAGGTTTTCTTCTTCATTAACTTTTACTTCCCCTGTTGGACTTGGGCCTTTTCTGTTGTGATATGCCCAACCGTTTTGAGCTTCTTTATTTTCCAATATGTTGACCACCTTTTCATGAATACCACCTAAAAGTTTGAAAAAGAAAAGACTCTAATGGAGATACTAGATGCTATTGTAAGCATATAGTGCGCCCATATATCTTATATTGACAGGTATATTATTAATGATCAGTGCTTTGGTGCCTACCCAAGGAGAGAAAGTAGTGAATTATCCTACTCGTCCGGTAGACACAACCACAGATTTTGAAGGGACAACTAGCATTCAACCTTCACAACCGGTATGTTTCATGGTTTTACAACTAAATGAGTAGACTTCTGTTCCAAAGCTGCAGCTGTTTAAATGAAGTGCTAACCATGGTTTGTACAAAATTTAGTTGGAATTTTAGAAATAGCAGTGAAAGCCAGAGTAAAGAAACATAATGGAGCACTACTCAATTGTGTACTCTACTGTTTCAGGGGTTATACGTATACTTTAAAAGAATACATTCTTGAAAACATTATAATCACAAATTTTGATTTGTGTTACATGTTGGATGTAGAACAGGAAATCACGATAGTGTTGCTATTATTAGATAAATATTGTTCACTGAGTTGAATTCGTCCACACGTTTAGTTTTGTAAGAAGCATCATCTTTTATGATACTGTTGAGGGGAGATGCTTTTAGTTTAGTTCAAGGTCCGTCTGTCAGAACCTGGAATCCCCTTCCACCCTTTTTTGCATTTTCTTCTCTTTCAGTTCCTGGTTGATTATCATAATTTTATTGCTCAGTGAAACTGGTCATATCCATTGTTGCAAGATGTATCAATGTGGTTGGACATGTATCAATACTAATGACATTAATTTTGTTTCCATCTTGATATACTCATTATGAATAATTGTATCACATCTGGTTTCCTCCTCTTTAATTGTTAATCAGAGGACACAGAATTAATTTACGTTAGAATTTATTCAACTATTTATATGCTTTATATCCCATAGAACAAGTTCATCTCTGAGTGATTTCCTACATAGAAGAATGTTAAGGTATGAAAATAACTTGTTTGCATATAGTAAACGTAGGAAGTCTTAACATCTCAATCTTTGTTCACTATGGTATGTGTGCATTGCTCATCGTACAATTATCTGGACCAGGTATCGTCTGGAAATGCAGTATCTGGAAACATGTCAGGTGCTCATGTGGGGAGATCCGTACCCAGGCCTATGGTTAACATGCAACGAATGCAGCCTCAGGGCATGGCTGCTTATAATCTTGCATCTCAAGCAGGGATCGGTGGTGCAATGAATCCTGGTGGCATGCCAATGCAGCGTGGTGTAGCACAGGCCCATCACCAACAACAGGTATATTGTGATGAGTATAGATTGTTTTGACCTTTAGAATAATTCTTTCTCTTAATTCATGCTGGTTTTATATTTTATTTTATTTTTCAAATACAGTTGAGAAGGAAAGATAATGGAATGGGGATGCCGGGATACCCTCCACAGCAGAAATCCAGACGTTTCTGAGGAATACTGCACGTATTGTACTTTAATTGCCATGGATGATCTGAAATTCATGAAGGTTAGTTTTTTTATTGAAGCTTTGCTTCATAGGCTCCTAGTACTTTAAAACTGTTCTTTATCTCTTCATCATTAAAAATGAAAAGAAGGTAAACTCCTTTGACTTTTCCTACTGGTCTTACTGACGAGGGGTTGAGATTTCAAACTCTCATCTTCCGCTGCCTGTCCCAAGAATCACTAGTTTTCCTAAATAGTTCAGAATCCTGTAAACTAAAAGGGGGAGAATCTATTACAATCTATCAACCATAACCAATAATCTTATCACTATCGTTTTTATTTATTGGACTGCATTTTTGTTAGTCTTCTCACTGTTGCATACAAATAAGGCTTTGTTGTTTTGAAGATAAAGAAATATACTTTTTAAGCTTTGTCTTGAGGGATTTCTGAACTGGAAGTCTGGAACTCATACTAGCGTACATTTTCCGTTAGCAAAACACTGCAAGTTCCATCTTTTCATCCCCACAAGCTCCTCTTGTTATCAATAATTCTCTTGGTACCTTTGATGTCCCTCTGCATCTGAGGCTCTGTTGGATTTATTAGTATGAGGCTTACCTTTCTACCGGCTCCGTTAGCCAACTGGTCTTATTGACCCATAACATACATTATCTGCTCGAATGGACCTGTACCCATCACCACTTCCTTAAGTATACCTGTTTTATTTGACCATCTTTTAATCGAGAATACTAAATCATGTGCATGATGCTTTGTGAAAAAGGTTGATGCACAAGCTTGATTCGTGAAGAAACTTGCAGCCTAACTTGTTTTATTCTATCTTCAAATTCCTTCATTCTTTCTTATCTTACCCATGCATTTCATGTTTTTCCAGGTCTAAATATTGAGGACACAAAATTTCTTGTTATTCTGTCAGAGGTAGAATGCTGTAGAGGAAATTCGGTTATTCTTAAAATGCTGGTCGGTGCAGTGGGACGAAGATTTCAGTTACCGCAGTCTTAACTGGTGCTCCTGTAGGTCACAACGTGCACACTTGCAAATTGTGACTCGATTTCTGTAAAAATTAGCTGTTAAGCCAGAAAAACAGTAATTTGACAAGTTGTATGAAGGCCGCATCGATGAGCTTTAAGTACTTGATCATCCATTCCTCACTAACAGAGAAAACAGGGGAAGGAAGGATGGTAGGGGATTAGAAAGAAACGCATTTGTTTGGATGAGATCCCCACCAACTTTTAACTGGGACTCTCACACTCCGTTACGTATGTATGTGTATAATATTTCTTGTAATTTATGTTTCAATTAGTCAACTTTTAATTCACAAATAGGCATTGGGTTGCACTTGCATGTGATCGTTTGAACAGCGGACCTCAAATTGATTCACCAGCACCAGCAGCCTATCCAAAAGAAAGTGGTAGTTGGTGCCGTAACCCTTTTTAAACACCTCCGACTTCCGGCTTCCGCCCGCCCTCAATCCCCTTTTCACAGCACCAACTACGGCGATGGTTTCACTCATCCGTCCCGTTCTCCCGCCGTCCCTCCTAACGAAGTATCACTGTGAATGCAAAATGCCACACTAGCCATCAAAGTGCAATTGTGAATGCAAAATGGTTTCACTAATCGTCTTTTGGAGATGATCTAAATAGGCTCTGGCTGAATGCTCTATAGTTATGCGAGTACTTTGATCCGACTTATGTTAAATCTTTATTAGCTTTTGTTGACTATGGAGGTTATGGAAGTTTAGTAATTGAATGCTACTTGAACACACAAAGCCGACGCACTTGCTAACATCATAAAATTGCGCAGTATGGAAAGTGACATACCTCCTTGTAAGTCCTTGCAAGGTTTGCTTCTTCTTTGATGTGGGACTTTATTCTAACATATGGATAAGATAAATTGGGTGACGTGAAACACTTGTGGGCCAATTTGTTTCTTTACTATAAAAGAAGTTGAAATTCCACTATAAAACTAATTGACAATATATAGAGTAACTCAACTTCTTATGAATCTTTCAAGGTTTATGATGCGGTACTTTGTATTTCACATAGACTATTCAGGATAATGCTTTCCTCGCTCCTAGTATGTAGGAACATCCTTCTCTTTGCCATCATCATCTAAATATCATTTTGGAAAGAAAAAAAAACATTCGAACTTGAGACCATTTAGTCATCTATATTAATTTGTTGAACAAGTCGATAGTTATGATAGAAAATAGTATTTTCTTGATGAACCGTCAATTTCCTCGATTCATTTGGATGACTAAGCGGTCTTCAAATCAAATGATTTTCTACATTGATGATTTTTAGTTTAAACACTGCATCAAACGTTTGACTTTGTTAATTAAAATTATTTGATGGATAGATTAGTACAATTCGACTAATATGTGCATCAGATAGTACTATACAGACTATTTTAGCACGTCAAACTGTAGTCATCCGCGGAGCCACTAAGGGACCAGAGTGGTTTCGAGCCCGTCCTGATCACTATGTAAGAAATTTCCAACAGCCTCAAGCCTGTTATTGCAGAACTGTGAGACATGAGGAAGAAGATGAATTTTCCACGAGAAGAAGTTGAGTCAAACGATGTCATGTCATATTTTTCTAACTATTTTGTTTGTTTTGCCCTTGTAGTTTAGTGAAACTCAAGGATAGGTTTTCAAAATTGACTTTAATATTATTTCTAATGCAACCTAATCAACCTCCTCTTTGCCCTCATTTTCTGTCAACAGTTGGAACTAGATTTCTTTGTATTTTCTTTCTATGATTTCAAATTTATTACTCGGTACGTTGCTCTCTACCTCCCACTTAATTGTATTATACATTTCTTTTGATTTTCTCTATTAAATTTAATGGGTCTTTTAGTTTTATGAACATTACTTCAATTGCTCATGCTATGTTTCAAAAAAAATTTCTTAATATATATATGAAAAGATCCTCGCTCACAAAAAATTCTGACTCTACCACTAACTATAATGACTATTATAATAAGTCAAACTCAAGTAGTCAATACAATTCCATGTACTAATTCACGTTGCGCTTGCAATTAACCGTACTACGAGGCAACGCGTGTGGATTTTCCGTGCATTCGGTGGCTAATACGGCAATGCATGGAATGCAATCCATTGAATATGGAAAAAAGGTCAAACTTAACTGTATTACAGTCCATTAAATTTAAGAAACATTAATAAAAAGGGTTTGAAAACTTTAAGTTTTAACCATAAGGACAAAATAAAGGATAAAGTAAATAGTACCATGATTGATTTTTTAATGTAAAAATGTGGTTTTTCGTTAAAATGAACAGTACCGAGAACTTTTCGTTAAAGTTCCTTAAATTTAATGACAATTGCAATAATATAAGCAATCCAGTTGCATCACAGTTGTACTTGATATATATACATATATGTGTGTGTGTGTGGGGGGGGGGGGAGGATCATATCACATCGAACTTTACGATTCAACCTATTTGTCTATTTAATTATCAATATAAAATTTTATTATTTTTTATATAACAAAGTATTCGTTAATTTCTTTGAACTCAATTAAATTTCTTAAATATTTTCGATTTGGCTAGTATTTTGCAAAAATGATATATGAGGTGCAATTTGAAAAATAGACATTCGGATTGTTAAAGTTCTTATCGTAAAACAGGGGCCCCGGGAACTTGTTTCTTGTTTGTGAAGGCGCCCACAGGAAATAGCTAGTAGTTTACGTTTCAGTTTCAGCGCATGCCGATGCATTGCATTTTGCATATATGGCTGGCTATCCGAGTCTCTGAGCTTCTCGTTTGCCGCACTGAACTGAATTATTCTTTATTGGCTTTCTTTGAAGCAAAGGGACAAAGACCGCCAATCCACAAATATCTTTCCCTTCATTTAATGTTGACTGTTCAATCTTTTCTCATATGGTACCGAGAAGTGTAAGTAGGTTTCTATCCTTTTCAAAGGACCAAGGATTTTATTCTCTCTAGTTTACATTTTCTGATTGTTTGTTTCAGGAATTTCATCCATCTATCTCAAGAGACGCAGGCGCAATTATATTGGCATGTCAATATATACTCGAGCTCCTAAATTCGAATCACATTCCTCACTATTTAAATTGATTTTATTGATGCACAACATCGGATCAATGTGTATAGTAGTGAAGTGATCTTCACAATGATGCTTTGTCAAGGATAGACGTACGAAGTGACCTACAAGGAAGATAGAGTGAGTATCGAAGGGCACCGTGTGCTACCAATCTTAGAGACTTCGATATTGTTTACGATGAAAAAGATAACTGATAAACCCTTCCCGTCCCAGATTTGGGAAGAAACAAGAAATATCGATGAGTTGTAATTAATACAAGGCAACCTAATTCTTTTTATCCCATCTCATTGTTCTGGCATGTATGTATGTATGAATAAAATCAACCAGACTTGGGAATCTGGGTTTTGTCCATTTGTATGATAAACCAGACCTGGGAATCTGGGTTTTGTCCACCAGACCTGGGAATCTGGGTTTTGTCCATTTGTATAATAAACCAGACCTGGGAGTCTGGGTTTTGTCCATTTGTATAATAAACCAGACCTGGGATTTATTAGTTTTCCTTTTATATAAACACTAACTAATATGTATTATATTCATTTACTTTTATTTTATCTTTATTAATAAAACTCAAAATTTTTAAGTTTTTTTATTAATTTTTCTTTTATATAAGCACTAGCAATGTGTATCGTATTAGTTAGTAATAGTAGTAGTCAGCCATGGCAAACACGAACATTCTAGACGCTGAGCGCGAGAGCTTCCACAGGTTCTTTGAGTGCTGGCTTGATGAACAAAACCAGCGCCTCCACGACCTCACTTTTGCCGCAAAAAATAACACCACCGCCACCACTACCGCCGCTACTATTCCTGCAACAACCACTGCCGCTATTAACACAAGCAGTACAAGTTTAGGAAAACTGGTGGAGCGCGTGGTGAAACATTACGAGCATTACTACGAGGTCAAGTCGAGATGGGCTAAGCAGGACGTCCTCGGAATGCTGTCGCCTTCTTGGCTGAGCTCCCTCGAGGACGCCTTCCTTTGGATTGGCGGCTGGAGACCAAGCATGGCTTTTCACCTCTTCCTTTCAAAGTCGGGGTTGCAACTCGAGGCTCGCGTATCCGAGTTCATGCGAGGCTTTTGTAGTAGTAGTAGTAAGGGTAACTTGGCGGATTTGTCGTCGCATCAGCTGACGCAGATGGACCAGATGCAGCAGAGGACTGTTAAGGAAGAGAGGGACATCAGCGAGAAGATGGCCAAACGGCAGGAGGCCGTCGCTGACTCCTCCATGGTCGGCTTGTCCCACGTCATTACGGAGTTGATGGATGCCGGTAACGGTGGTGATGATCCGGTTGCGGAGGAGGACCCCCGAGTGGAATCCGCTCTGGCATCCAAGGAGCAAGGTTTGGAGGAGGTTCTGCATAGGGCTGATAATCTACGGCTGAGGACGCTGAAAGCTATCACTCACATTCTGACTCCAATCCAGGCCGTCCATTTCTTGATTGCCGCTGCTGAGTTGCACTTGAGGCTTCATGACTGGGGAAAAAAGAAAGACGCCACTACCCGTGCCCAATCTTCTGAAACATGATCATTTCATCTCATGCATCGATCCCGTCGGTCTAAATTATTGACGAGTTTTTAGGAGAGGCCTAAGTACCTACGTATGTTGTCGCGCGTAATTGTGTACTAGACTATGAATTTGGTGTGAGACTATACTATACGCTCGAGGTCTTCCCCACTCGGTTTACTCCGGGCAAGGTTTTAATGACGCCACTTTAAGCAAGTGTATCTTGTTATAAAGCTTATTTTTATTTTGTCAAACAAGATAACTTACATTAAAAACTAGTACAATGTTCAAAAATAGCCAGCTAAACAGTAAAAGGCCCAAGCAAGAAGAGAAGTGCAACCAGAAGCCCACACATACTTAGATTTGAAGACTACAAAAACAAACAACAAAAAAAACCATAATCTCAAGCAGCATAAACCAAACTGCCGCCACCGTTGCATCCTTGGAGGAAGCTAATCTTTGAACCGAGAAAGTAGACACATGATCTAAGCTCCCGCACGAAACCCTGCAAATATACACAAACAAAGCATCTTACGGATAAAAAGTGAGGCTAAGGGGTATGCAAAATACTCTTAATGTGGCAGATGCCCTAGGACACTTGGCCTTGATGGGAATCCGGCATGCCGGTTAGGGAGGGGAGGTGAGGGATGTGGATCTAAAATTCAATTTCTGATCGGAACCCACATATCTGAGCATGCGATGAGGTGGGCATGGAATATCACGACTAAGGAGGAGGGAGGAAGGAAAGTTAAATGACAAAAAGCAGGTGAAAAATGTCGGATAAAGAGCATGAAGCCCAAAACTGAAACAAGCTTAGGGAGGTAATCGAGACCAAAGAGGGGGTGGGATGCTGTGAGGAGAAAGGGGCAGAGGAGATGAGAGGGGAGTAAAAGTGGGAAAGGGTAAAGAAGGGAGGGAGTAGCAGGCTGTTGCCTACCCCGAGCAAGAGCAAGAGGTGGTGGTTCAAACTTCGATAAATGTTGGGTTTCTGCAGCAACACAGAGAGAGGAAGCCATTATTATAAATCAATAGTAATTTTTGTTGAATATAAATCCTACATCGGGGAGCTAAGAAAATAAAATACAATATATAAGTGTTTCATTTTAACAACACCGAGACCTTTTCTGTAAAACACAACACCTAGAAATAGGCAGTAAGTTAAAACAATATCCGGATGGTTAAGAGTGAGATAGTGGCCCGTTACTATGAATATCTAACAATTTCCGGGCACATTCATGACCTGAAATCATTTGGAAGTCCAACCGACACCATAAAGGCACCATTCCACAGACAGCAGCACAATTTCAAATAATCGAAACGCTTTATAGCCTTTTCCTTTGAACCCAAAAGGCGGGCAACACAGGATCAGCTCTAAAATCTGTGTTACTTACAAATCGTTAGGATATTTTTGACATTTTGATCCATTCTAAAAACTCTGTCGCGTACTGATCACTCAAAATTTAAGCACCCATCCAGCACCAGAAAAATTTTGAGGATTTCCAGAACAATGATAACTCAAAAGCTTCTCTGTGAAGCTCGTAGCAGCCTGCGCCGGGGATTGAGAAACCGGAACATTGGACAACAGACTGGGTTCAGTAGTGTAAAGGCTTTCCAGATCCACCAGGGCTCCTCTGCATGCTGGCTCTGCCATCCAAAGCACAGCACATAAGAAGGAACAATCCGGATTCTCCACCTAAACTGGATCAGATCAAAGTAGGAATTCGGGAAACAGTTACCAAATCAGGGCACTGCAAAGGTGTGTAAAAAGGTCAAGAAACGAGAAACCGAGCTTTCTCAAATCATCGCCTCACCTGTGCACTCTTTTAAATACAAAGAAATGCCTTTGTATTACACCAACAAGCCAATTAAAGTTCATTCCCGATAGATACAAAAAGGATAGGAAATAGCACACCTCTAAGAATCAGTGAAAGCTCTATCAAAGCAACGAAGTTGGCCTCACCATATATCAAAAAGTATCACTGAACAGAAATAAAAATAATCTGGTCTTTCTTTTCTAATAAACCATGTCTATATAGCTGCTAGGACATAAAATCTAATTTCCAGACCCAAAAAAAAAAAGACGAGAAAAAAGACATAACCTAACTTTAACGACCTTGGCAGGACCTTGAGAAAGAGGAAAATATTTCTACAAGTTTAGCATAATTCAGTTTAGAGCTCTAACTTGATTTCTGGTCCTTGAGCATCTCTGTATTCTAGAACCTTCTTTGGGATGTTGTTTGTAATCAGAGTCCCACCATTATAGCCATCGATTAGCAACTTCCCTATTTTTGATCTCCACTCCGAGCTATCAGTTTCATTTCTTCTGTCATGAACAACTCTGCCACGGTACTTGAGCATGGTTCCCAAACCAGTATTGGGTTCCCAACCATATTCCACTAGCACCTGGGCCTCGCCTTCGGTCAAGTCTTCTCCAACCTTAACCGGTCAATCCAGGAAAAAGATACGGTTAGAACCAAATCAGATATATTACCCTCTAGAATGATAATACAAAATGCCCAAACTGTCTATTCATCCAGATAAGCCATGCTTAAAGCTGAATCCAACTGATTACAAATTGCCCACAAAAAATGGTAACAAAAGACAGAATACAAACTTGGCCAAAAAGCACGTGTGTGTATAACACATCACTACAATACAGAGGCCTGCCAATTTGGCTATCTCAACAATAGCACGTTATTCTTAAGCATAAAAATCTATAAATATATAAAATGGGAACTGTTCTTGGCACTCCAAAAAAGTCCTCCTGCACTCCTTTATGAAAGCACACGGGAGAAAATAAACACAAAGTGCAAGATAACATTTTTGGAGTGCCAATAACAGCTCCCTCGAATATTTCTCAGATAAAAAGAAACTATTAAAGTAAAATAAAAGTTCCGAGTCATAACACAGCCCGACCATTAGACATTTGGACTCAAATTCCAGTCTAAGACCACAAACACTAATTTGAGAGTGAAGATGCAGATAAAACAATTAATCAACATAACTTTATTAACATGGTTCCACTCCAAACTGGGTTATGTTCATGGGGAGGAATCACGATCCACCAGTAAAGAAACAAGATCACAATGATTAGGAAATAGCCTCTTCCAACCCCATAAAACTCGCAAACATTCAAACTCACTCAGATTTCCCTCTCAAAAGTTGAACCCTAGAGTGAGAAAACTATCAAAATCTGACTAATGATCACATAAGGAGGCTAAAAAACTTGAAGAACCCTATTTAAGGCTCATAATAACCCTTTGACCAATTTGTCAACGTCTTAGATTCCTACTCCAACCAGGAGATTGGTGCAAAAGGGACACAGCAAATGTGTCAAACAACAGCAGTCTGAAAACCAACAACACACTAAAGCCTGCACTACAGTATCTCAAAAAACCACTCTGAACGCTTGAGTGTAAAATGATTTCCCTTTGGACACTTGAGCTTTATCCCCGATGTTCGAGCAGCAATTCCAAATCCTACATTTCCACAGCTAGTTTTGAGCTGTTACTCCAACACAAACCACAGGCTGGATGTAGGTTTCCAGCACAGCAGGAACAATGATTATGGTTTGAACCACTCCCTACCCAGAAAACCCAAACCAAGTTGGCATTCTCCGACAAATAATCCATCCCTCATCCGTTGCATCACAGCTATGCCTAACAAAGATTGGCCCCCTGACAGGGCAAGAACAATTGGTTCACGCTCTCTAATCCATATATGCGCATCACGCGCCATTAGGAAGAAAACAAAGAGAAGGCTTTCCCCTCTGAACCAAATCGCATGCTAACCCTCCCAAGAGCAAAATCTAAGGTAATTATCGAAAACTGAAGATACTTCCTTTCACCAAATTGCACATGCAGGGATGAAAGGATAACGGAATAACCTACAGAAACCCATCACATATTGAACCGTTTTGACTTGGAATCCCTAACCCTCTGAAACCAGAGGTAGTTATTATGATCATGGTGGATAAAAAATGTGACCTACAAATTTAGGTAAACTGAAGTGATCTACAAATCTAGGGGGTAGTTTGGCAGTCTACTCATAAATTAATGATAGATCAAAGTTGTGAGTTCATTAAACAACTGTCTCCATTGTTTGACACATTTATACCAGCAATCATCTCATAAATGTTTTAAAATCATTACCGATAATGCTTTGTCCTCAATTAGTGAAATCCTGCTACAGCTGGTAAGCTTCATTGCAGTCACTAGGCGCTTGATTTGCCATTCAATAGGTAAAGAATCTAATAGCTCAAAGAAGTATGTTGCATATCCATATTCGGGTCGTTCCAGCACAATTCTGCAGTCAAGTGATAATCAAATGTCAAATCCTCCACTTCAAGTTGAAAGGATAAACCAACCTTAAGAAAAATATGCAACTCATGCACACCTATTATGTTTAGGAAAGACAAATATAAACGACTGAAGGTCTCGGCACCAACCCCATTCAACCGGCCAATTTCTGAACTGCAGATAACGGCTCTGTATAATAAAATGAAATGGGATTTATTGTAAACAAAAAGATAAAAGTCTTGCAGGCAGATATAGGGAAACGTTAACTGAAATAATTAGCCTGTTATCATGCTGACGAACTAATCATAAGAAACCTATTACCTGCTCCACAAGTGAAATTAGACAAGCCAAGCAATAAGTAGCTCTTGAGCCCTTGGTGCATCGTATCGGAGCAAACTTAAAAAACGGCTGACGCTGTGAGAAAAGCTGTCCAAAATGAATATGCTAACATTAGAAAGACATTAATGCAATGGTGTACCACATTTAACTGTGCAAGGCAATTCAAATACAGATGGTTAACTACCAAAAGTTGGCCGATAATATGTTATCCAAAACAGAACTCATACAGAATATTCCCTATCTATAATTTTAAGAAGAAACGAACAATTATTACTCAATAAGATTTCATAGCAGTAGGACCACAAATGCACTAAAATAGCAAACAACAAACAGGAAGCAAATATAAAACAATATCCACTACCCACATGAACCCCACTCCCAATTATTTGGCATACTGCAGCTTCCCAATCTTACAAAAATTGAGGGGAGCTATCCCTTAACTCTGTTGACACGGAGGCCAATAATGAAGACCAAAATCTGAGCTTATCTTCAGAAATTTTCCTATTCCTGTGCACCCAAACAACCCAAGAAAATGGCCAAGAACATGCAAACCTTTCACACAAAAAGAACCCATCCAAATTCCCTTCCACCAACAGTGGAGAAAAACATGATCTGTCAAATTCCCCCACTCTTTACAGACAGTACAACAGAGAAGGGAAAGCCTACCCACTGCCCTCTTTTCTGAAGCATCTCTTCTACAAGACAATCGCTTCATAACAACCAAACAAGGAGGAGAAGTTCTTAAAAAGTGTAACAAGATGGTTTAAAAAAAATTCTCATCATTCTCACAAGCAGCCACAAGTTTTCTTTTCAATTGCTTTATAGAACAATGTGTCCAAATGAACCTTTTTCATACGTTAAAATTATTAAATATGCCCTCACTTCGTCATCAGTTGATTAAGAATTAACTATTGTTTTTCAAAAAATGTACCCTGGCAGTTTCCTTATAGGTAATTCACAATTGCAGTAGCACATCTGCTGTGTACTAAATAAAAGCAGCAATATTGGCCAATAGGAGGTTCGCACTAGATCCTATGGGGAACTCTAGGAACTTGAAAAGAATTCCAAAATACAACCACCCCCAACCCCTCCCCCCGCGAACAAAATCACAAACCATGATGGGGTAAATGTTTTTAATATTAATCTTAACAATGAGCCCGGAATGATTGAAGGCTATGCTACAAGGAAGCTGCAAGAACAATACATAAAATTGTTGTAACAAGGCTAAGACAAGAGGGAAACCTCATAGTACAAGAATTGTGCCAACCTTTGATATTACAGCTTCAAGCTCCGCAAAGTTGTCTTCACATAAGGATTCACTCTCAATCTCGCCGTAAAGCCTGATTTCATTAACCAGCACCCCCTTTTCAACTAATACCTGCCATTTATCATTTTAGGAGGCTTCATCCAAATGGTACTGAAAATGCAACTGTGAGAAACATGGAGTACCTGCAGTAGTCCTGGAGCATCTTCCTCCAACGCCGTTTCAACGGAATCCCTGCAGTTAATTTCACACCTATATCCTTAAGAAAGGTGGACATAAAACTAAGTGGAAAATGACCTACATAAACATAACAACATACGTGGCAGTCTTTTTCCGTTTTCGTGGACGAATGACGTTTATTGGCTTAGCAGATTCTGAGGCAATAGGGCTATACTTGGCAGAAGGCACAACTTTAACAAAACATCCATGACTCCTAGATATGTTCAATTCACAGCCATAACCAGATGCCAACAGATTCAACCGATCACGCAGCCGTATATGATCAACCTCATCTTCATTAATTTCATTGAAAACTCTTGGTTCATTCTTTACAGACAGTATGTCAAAGGAGAACTTACCCCCAGCATTTCTGTCCGGATTTTGGAAGACACCGTCATCCCAAGGTTCATCCTTTACTTTAACAGATGTTGACGGGGTTGAACAATGCCTTCTACTTGTGCATGTAGGCACATAGTCCTGTCCCCCACATGAACTTAACTCCATGGCATTAGGAGGCATTCTCTCAGATGAGCATTTCTTATCACTTTCAGAACCTTTTCCACCATAATTAGACTTATTGGAATTAACTGAATATTGATAGGCTGTAGAAAATGCTTCAACAATGACATTATGAGGTGAACTAATCATTGAAGTTCTACAAACAACTGAACTATTTCTTCCAGAATTGTCATGAAGTGAACTGGTAGCCACTAAGGCTTCTCCACCGGCACTACTAGTATCTGCCTGTCCTTTACAAGCAAGCTGTTGCATAAGGTCTTTTGACAGTGGCCCTGGAATATCCTGTATCATACAATGTTAGAAGATACTTCCATAATCAGAAGAAATTCAAGTATATTATATCCAATTTTTATTTCAAAGTAATATTTGTTTTTTATGAGTTACGCCATATTAATTGTGGACCTCGAGTTCACCGAGTCTTGTGCTGTGTTTTTATTATTTTTTAACAAAATTTTGTTTCTCGTGAAAAAAGGAAAACCCCACCGGTCAACTTTAAGAAATAGAAAGCAAAGCAACAAGTTCTGATTGTCAATGGAACAATTCCGACTTTATCTCACTTGTCATTCGTTCCCGTCCAGGTACCATTTTGTAAGCCATTGAGGAACACAGTATAGTAAGATATGACATTGTCTATTAACATGAATTTTTTTTCATAAACCCTACTTCTGAGCTCAACAGTAGCCACAAGCTTCTCAATAATTAATGCACACATATAATTCTAAAAATAAACATAAGGATAAAAATATTACCTCAATAAGTGCTTTTTCAAACCCGAAAAGTTTCCTGCAAAATGCCATAAATAAAATAACTAAAAAAACCTAAGAATTTATCCCTTTACAGCAATATGAATTACATAAACACATTCAGGCATGTTTATAAATTTCACAAACTGAAATTCAATATACAAAAAAAACCTGAACAAATAAAATTTGTACTTAGATCGTATACTTTTTTACGAGAATAAATTTTTTATAAGACCTCCAAAGTTGAGTTTCAATCAAGGGTGGAGAACACATTCTTTCAACGGTGAAGGTGAAAGAATTGGCACTTGGGTGTGAGGCTTTGCCATTGATTTTAATGATGTTCAATTTGATTTGACTCAATTGATTAAAAGAATTTATGATAATTTGGCCACTCAGTTCTACACACAAATAATTTTGATGAGGCATGTGGCACGTGTATTTTCTGTCGGACCCATTACTTGCATAAATCAAAATGTCCAACTCTTGAACTGGTGACTATTTATTCTAACAAAATATTTCACTAAATTGTTGATGCATGCATATCTCCCAATTTGATGCACGACATACACACATACTTGTCACATGCAGCAGTTTTTGCCTGTTGAATTGGAATTCCGTTTTCCTTCAACAGTCATTGTACCCGCATTTGCCACAATTTTTGCTCCTTTGACTTGCTAGCTTGTTTCTTCATTTAACAAGCTTTAAATTTCTAGTTACATTAATGAAATAATGCTTCTTTCCATCAAGAAAATTCTCTCCTTTAAAATTAGTCGACTGCATGACCACTAGCCATGGAAAAAAAATCACAAATAACATTTATAATGTCGCTGAACTTTAAAATTAAATTCTCAAATCTTCCCACATACCCTCATGATGCAAGATCACAACAGAACACAGTTGAAGGGTTTGGTTTTGCCCAACCTTTGGTTGAACAAAACATTTCAGGTTTCAGCTCAATGGACTATGCCTCCATTTTTCTTCCTTGATTTGATTCTCTTCAATTTAATTTGATTTGATTAAAAGAAGACTTAATTTACTTATTTGGCCTCTCAGGTGTTGGCACGTGTCATTTCCTAAGACCCGTAACTTGCAGAAGTCAACTTTTACTAGTCAAAGACTCAAAAGTTGAAATTTTTTATTGTTCATCAAAATGCAGTGAATTTTGTAAGAAGTTTTGAGGTCTGTAACTTGTGTGTGATTGTGTGAGGAAATTAATTTTGAAAAGAAAAATTGTGCCAAGTCATAAAATCATCAAGGAGGAAATGGCACCTTGATTGCAGCATCTTTTGTCGCTCTTTGAGGGAAATGTGGTCCAGGTGATCATAAGTAGAGTGATCAGAGATCTCACTTTTCACTTGAACTGCTAACACAGAAGAACCAGCAAAGCCATTCATACCACCTCCAGATGAACAAAAGAAGCCGCTAGAGTAAGCAACCTTTCCTTTGGCATGAACTTCTAATGGTGATGGACTTTCAGGTAGACTGGAAATATTGACATCAGTTTTTTCTAGTTGAGCAACATTAATATTAGAATCAGTACAGACGATCTGCTCTGAAGAAACAAAAGTATTTACTTTTGTCCCAGTGTAGTCACTATCCCCAGGCATTTCCACATTTTGGCTGCAAGAGTCATGTTGTAAATGCTGATCAAGTGAGGGATCTGCCACAGTTTTACAGCCTAAGAGTTCAGATGTAGCTCCGCTAGAAATTATAGAATACTGATTTTTTTCTTCTTCCAATAATTCAACTCTGACTTCTCTGACAGAAGGAAAAGACGAAACATCCTACAAAACAAGCACATTCTATTAACCATGCCAAAAAAGAAAAGAAAACGGCAGAGGTAAGAGGTAAGAACAAAAATCAGGTAAGACAAAAAATAGGTGCCAACTCAAACTGCTTGCACTGAAATTATTTCCAATCATCTTTTCCAGGCAAACTGCTTCCTATTTCAGCCAGTCTCATCGATATTCAAGCTGTAATTTGACCCTATCTTCAGCCTAAAGCACATTGCTAAAACGTCAAATAAATATACAAGTAAAATATACAAAAACTCTTCCAAGGAAAATGCCTCACAAAGTTATGTCAGTTGAGTTTTTCTCTTCAAACATTTAAGCATAGTTTTCATAAACATGAGAATGGTCCACTTTGATTTGTGGACCATCTATAGTGTCTCACCCATACTTCCAGTGTTTTAGGTACATTCTAATTTCAAATCACTTATCTTCTCATGTCAAATCGACAAAAACTCTTATTTTCATGAATCTATCCAGTGTCTTGCGTATACTTCTAGCTACATTCAAATCTTTACAAGACAAATAACATTGCTATGTTACACGACATTCTAACTGGATTCTCATCCTGTTCGTACATAGGCAATGAAATGAAATATATGGAAAAGGTGGATAAACAAACATAACAATAACTAAACCTCTACCCCATCCAATCAAGCAATTTTCTAAAATCTAGTACCTCCTCTATGTTATTTAAATGCAAATATACTTTTCTCCACACGTGCAGAGACTTTGTAAACTTTGCCAGTGAAGACAATTTGTTAAATCCAGTAGCCCATACTTTGCATATAAGCAATACCTTCTCAATATTGGCCTTGCACTCACAAAGAGTTTGTGATTTTTGACCAAATAATTTCGCACATACGCATGACAACTCCATAACTTCTATGACCTAACATTACATCCTAAGACCCTTCAAATAAAATTCAATACTTTTCTTAATTTCAGATGCCCAAATAGACTTCCAAATCCATATTCTTCAATGTTAAAACGATAATTAAATTGTCAGAAATTCAATATTGAATCCATAGATTCTTCAAGTATATGTCCTTCATTTGTTTCCTTATATGGATCATTAGTTTCAGCTGCAAGATACAACTTTCATAAGAAGAAAATATCATGCATCAACCCATCATCTCTATTATTCGAAGATGACACAAATGGGCACAAGCAATCTATATCTTCATGGATCAAAGACAATAATCAATCAAACACTAAATTAACAACTAAAAGGATAATCAACTACAAACTGTTTACTCCAATGATTATAGACCAGTTCAATGTCAAGAGCAGGGCCATTTGTTATTGCCTAGCTATATCTTATCATTAAATGCTTATGATACTACTGTAAATTTCAAAAGAGAACGAATTTGGAATCATATTACTCAGCGTTATAAGACAAGGCTTGAAGCATTCACCTCTTCAATGCTTTGAGCTCAAATCAATCATCACAATAAAATACCACTAACTGTGATAATAAGAAAATAAATAGTGGAACTAAAATGTAGAGATTAACAAATTACTTGTGACTTGGAGAGCTCATCTTCTTCTTTAACCGTAACACCAATGAGGGACCTGTAAACCCCAAAGACGAAGCTTCCATCACTAACTTTAGAATATTACTGACATTTTATGCATGTGATAATATGTACATATATATATATATATATATTAAATGGAAACAAGGAGCTCACTTCAAATTTTGCTTTCCAACAAGTAACAAATTGCGCCGTTGTATCAATGGAAGATAGTCAAGCTCATCAGACGAACCAGCACCATCAATTTTAATATGCTTCCCATTTGAACCACAAGAAGTAATAGCCATTTTTGGGTGCACCTTCTCTCCACTTCAGTTCAGGTAGTTAATTCCCATAAGTTACTGGTTGAATAACGCTTGTGGCGCATCGGAACAGCTCTACAGCTCCTAAATATCAACACACAAATCAAACACAAGAAAAGTTTCAAATTTTTGAGTTTAATGGCAAAAGCAAACTATGCTAGGGTTTGAGATGTGAGAGAGAAAAAAGAATAACAACATATCACCATATCACGCAGAGGGATTCAAGCGCTTCAACCGCCCAGATACTGGTGCGTCAGTGTGTCACCGCAGTTTCTAATTCGTGCAACACATTTGCTTATTATTAATCTCTTGGGCTAATTAGCTTGCCACATTTGCTTATTGTTAATCTTTTGGGCTAATTAGTTCACCACATTTGCTTATTGTTAATCTCTTGGGCTAATTAGTTCACCGTATATGCTAATTACACCAAAAAGAATCAGAAATCAACCATACTTAGGAAACAAACATCCAGAAGTTAACTTAAACAGGTACCACTACAAACAGAACTTCAAACCAAAATTAAAAAAAATAAATAAAGAAAGAGCGGGAGGGTTTGGTATTCTCACAGCTTTGCCTTCTCCCCTAATCTTCCGGTAGCAGCACAACCATCAGACAAAGCACAAGTAGGCGGAGCGAGGGAGGGGAGGGAGGCAGCGAGCGGCCGATAAATTGGGAAAACGGAGGGTGGAATGGGCTGAGCGGCTGAGACAGGAGGTGACAAGTGGAGTCGGGGGTGGCTGCGGTACGGGTGCAGTTGGGAGAGGGACCGAATTAATTTTTCCTTTTTGCCAATTTAATTTAGAAATTGTTGCTACCAAATCCAGTAAAGTTATTATGCACCCTCCAGTTAATTCCAACAAGGACCCCTAAATTTGTCATCATATTTCATTTTAGTCCCCGTATTTTTATTTTTGTTACTGAATTCTTTTAAATTTTCTCTTGAATTTTTTGTAAGAGTTTGTGGTGTAATTCGTTAAAAGTATTCACTTTTGCATGTCAGGTTCCTAGCTTGTCTCACAAATCTTTTTTTTTTATTTTTTTTATTTTGAGTTCACAACATTGTCTTGCTTAATTTTCGTTTGGCTGATGATTTTTTATTAAAAGATATTGTTCGCACTCTAAAATAATTATTGTGCAATCTTTATAAATATGTTTTATTTCTAAATATATAAAGTTTAGAGTGCACAATAACTTTTTTCGAGTGTGAATAACAACACAATTTCTATTTTCATAAATTTATAAAACTAAATGCCTTAAATTTAATCAAATTGTGGATTTACTAAAATGACACCTTTGAAGGTGAATCTAGATTTTTGCTCTTGTGGAGCATGAAGGAAAATAGAGTATTGGAGCATTAGACTCTTAATTATGATGGATTGTAGTTTTGGGCCTTGAGTAATAAATTCCTTAAATTTATTAATTGATTTGATAAAATGTGTAACATTGGCCTATATGTTCTAATTATATAAGAATTGTCGTCCTTGGTGAAATGTTGTTGACATGCGAATTTGGCTTACCCCTACCTCGATCAAATCTTCTCGCTGAAGTGTCAAAACACACAAATAATCAACGACACTCTATCATGCCTCCTTTCTCGCCCTCATGCTCCTCTTTCTGAGTCGAGAACCGACCAAACTAAATCGAAAATAACCCTCTATTAGTAGGTTAGTTGATTATAATGAGCTCAAGGATGTAATCTTTAATGAGTCAAGTATACGCGGTTTAATTCTTAACCATAAACATAAGGCTTGCATCGCACATATTTGGATCATCAAGTATTGGCTTGTATTGGTAAAATCACTTTTCGCTTGAAACTACCCCTTTACAAATCAAAGAAAAATCAAAGTATAAGAGAAGGAAAAGTCAAAATCATTATCTATCTCGGAAATGGCTTATAAGTTTATTTTTAACGATTGATTAGACGATCAACTTATGTTAAAAGTTATAAACGGATCTTACTATAAAACGTTGAATTGCAATGTGAGAAAATTAAAACATTATAACCCATTTGGAAATAAGCCTACGTGGATGGTGTGGAAAAGGCACACGTAAAAAAATATATAAAAGGAGAGCAAGGGGGGAAGGGAAAGGAAAAATAAATAAAAAAAGCAAGAGGCAATACAAATGAGAACCGCCCCTTCCCTCTCTGGCCTTCTCCCATTCTCCGCTTCGTACATTCAGTCGGGTCAAGTTCTCCATTGTAAGATTCCAACTCTCTCTCCTCTCTCTCTCTCTCTCTCTCTAACTCGCTAAGAGCCGCCCACACCCACACCGCAACACACTCGCACCGTCGCTTTGCATTCATCGATTAATGTGTATTTTTTTCCTCAGAGTTTTGCTTGTGGCGGGAACGCACTTTTGGCGACATTGTCGCCGATTTGTTCCTTTTTCCGGTATTCTTTTGATTTTTTATTATTTTCTGCAATTGCCTATTGAGCCTCAATGCATTTGTCTAATTGTCAATGAAACGTGAATCGCATGCTGGTTTGGTCAATTGGTAGTTGTGTCCACAAAGCGCGGCGTTTCTAGAATCTAGGGTTTCTGTTGTTTGGCTACCGGAACTGGGTCTGTTTGGCTAGTGAGAATATTGGGTGTTGCAAAGGAGAGAGCGAGAGAGATTTTTTGTTTTGATTTGTTTTCGAAAATTGAATCAATAAGCTTTCGGATGAAGGTGTTAGGGGTGAATGGACTTAAAGCTTTCTCTTTTCGTTTTTCCATGTGTGTTTGGTACCTTATATATCATGCCATTCGTTGATCTGTGCTTACTGAAGATGTTGATTGTTGGGTTTGGTTGAGTGGATTGTGTTGATATGAACCGATGTTCGCTTTGTCTTTCTTTTTTCGTTCTAACGGGATGCGTCTATGTGCTTGGGATCTTGTTACATTGCTTTTCTGGTTTTATTTTCTTTAAGCTCCGCTTCATTTATTGGGAAATCGAGGAAAGTGAAAATTTCAAGCCCTATGATTTAAGTCGATTTAGTTTCTCATGTGGTGAAATATCTTTATGTGGGATGTTGTGTGTGTTTTCTTGTTTCAGGAACTGAATTAACCATATGCAAGTTTGTGTGCCTTGGCATTGCATCAGCACTGAGTAATAAGGATGCCTCTATTGAAAAGAAAGGCGTTTCCCTTGGCTGAACTGCCTGATGATTTGGAGTCTCATGAGCTTGTATACCAAGTTCGAACTACAAAAGAGATATTTCGAGACTACGGGTATCCTTTTTTTAGGCCTTGGGAAGCTGTGTGGCTTTTTTGTTTTTCTTTTCTTTTATTTTGTAGGTTTGTTTTTATTTTGGATCTCTCTAAGTTTTAGTACATTACTGTGGTCTCCGAGGCAATTAAGTGGAATTTATGCAAACAAGGTCAACCAAAGTGCGTTATGTCTTTGACTTCTTAAAATATTGGTAGAACACCCTTTAGCTTCTCAAGTCTCCTGCATTGTCACAACCTTTTGTTTGTCTGACTTAACAAGGAGCAGTGAATATCTGAACCGGATAAATTTGTATCGCCAGAGAATTTGGATGTGCAAAGTCTCTGGAAAAACTAATTTGACTTATGAAGAGGCTTTGCTATCAGAAGAACGTGCTACTGAGAAGGTTCAGCAGTTTCCCAAGGAGCTCATGGCACCTGCACTACAGATTATCCAATACAGTAAGAACTCTCGACTGCGATCAATGAATATCTTGTGCTTTGAAATAATCTTTAAGTTTTGCCCACTCAATAGTTTCAGATAATTTTTTTTGTGGAGATTAAGTGCAGTTTTGGTGACATTATATGAATGAGCATTGTCTGTCTATAGGCTAGTTTCTAACTTTCTGTTTATGACATGGAGGGGAAATCTTGTATGGATTCCCCTTCTAACATAAATTACTCACTTTAGCATACATCTGAGTTCCTTATATATCAAAATACTGATACATGATCTTCCTCATGCATGTTGCGGATGAATTTATGTGGTGGTGCATGCCTGACCATTGGTTTTCTTCTTTTCTTGCTTTGAGAACCTCACCAATTGTGCTTATTGTTAGATTTTTCTTGTCAGATTTGGATGGGGAGTATGTTGGTGGAAAAGATCCCTTTTCAATAAGAATTTTGTACCCTTTTTTTCGACAATATGAATATATGCTGTAGGGTTTTATAGTTATGCTGGCAAATGTTTGGTTGATGAATCTCTTATTTCTACCTTGTCGGAGACTGATGTTGGTAGTGAGGGGTAATCAAATTTCATACTTTGGCTACTTGAGATGATATAGCAGTTTGATTGTTTCCTTATCTGTGATGTATTTTCTCTAAGTATGTATATTAGCAACGTAGATTTTTAAACAGGTATTATGCTCCTTTCCGGTTCAATTTTATCTCGATTTCCCTTCTTTACATTTCCAAGAATGTTAGCATGACAGTTGTGTCCCAGTTTAGTGAAGCTGAGGATTTTAAGGACCCTACATTAGCGTCTTGTGTCTTACTAGTAGGGTAGTGTATAGACCTTGATGTATGCGAATAATGACTGTTTACCTGTAACATGGGGTTGATTGTGAATTTTGCGCATGATTGGGAAGTGTATCTGGATGCTGATGTAGACATGATAAGCTAGACGTGCTTATCATGACCTTGAGCCAATGCTTCTGTATAGTTGCAACATTCTCGAAATTCTGCATAACTCATTAATTTCTTGTCCTGACAGGTATGCTTTCGTTGAAAGATCTTGCTGACATCATAGCCACAAAGTTGCAGGATCACATATATGTGGGTGCTGAAATGTATGGGAGAAAGGGTGATGATATGTATCCATGCAAAATATCAAAGGTTATTGAAGAAAGTGTTGGAAAAGTTGAATATGAGGTAGCTTGGCTTGACAGGAATAAGGAAGTTATGGAAACTTCAGTAATAAATCAGGAAGACCTGAGACAGAAGAAGCCACCATTTAGTAGAAGTTTTTTGAAATCTTTTATTCGGGAATCTACATACCGAAATGCTCCTTGGGTGCTCCATGGTAAACTTGCACAAATTCATGGAATCTCAACAAGTGTTCCGGAGAACTTAAGGGGCAAAGTCTCTTTCAAGGATGGTTTACTAGTCTGCAATAAGAGAAGGAAAAACAAGGAGGTATAATATTCATTTACTTGTTGAAGTGATGACATTATCTGCCTGTCTTATATTTTTTATTAAATCCAGGAAGCAAAACATGAACGTCAAAATTTTAAAAGGAAAAAAGTTGAAGGTTCAGCTATAGAAGGTATAGTGCAAATATTTGCTTGATTACATTTTTGTTAGTGGTGGAGCCCTGTACATGGGTTTTTGCTCTTAAAATTAAATGTTTTGCATGGTTGCAACTCTAGTAAAGTTCGTCTTTCTGTTATTGTATCTTGAATTCGCAGAAGGTGACGAACCAGCAGAAGAACCTATCAAGTATCCAATTGATGACCTTTTGGTGCAACCAGATGCAGATGATCCAGTTTTCACGGATCGCCCTTCGCCATTGACAGACTTTAATGTCCCAATGGAATGTGTTGGTGACCTTTTGATGGTTTGGGATTTTTGTTCTTCGTTTGGTAGGCTTTTGCACTTGTGGCCATTCTCTCTTGAAGATTTTGAGAATGCTATCAACCACAAGATGGGCAATTTGATTCTTCTTGTGGAAACTCATTCGGCTCTTCTCCGGTTGCTCATGAAAGACAATGACGAATATTCTTCAACCATACGGAAAAGAAATCGAAAGTTGAAGGTCATACGCCACTTGCAATCTATTATTTAAATATCTATGTCAATAGAATCCTTGTTTCTTATTTATGCCCTTCTGATTTCTTTCTTATATATTTTTTTTGTTTGATTGTTCTTTTTAATTTCAGATAACTCTAATTACTTGGACAGAGTATTTGTGCGATTTTCTAGATATGGTGAACAGTTCTGAGTTACGTGGTTACATAGCAACTATCAAGCGGGGGCATTATGGCATTTTAGATGCTCATGCTAAATTGCTAATCTTGCGAGAATTGGTCAGTCATGCACTTGAAACAAATACTCTTAGAGAGAAGTTGGCTAAGTTTGTTGAACAGAGGCAGGCACTTGGAGCCACAATAAGGGGGGAAGCATTGGAGGAAGCTAGAAAGAAAAGAGAAGAGAAAGATCGTTCGAGAGCAGAGTATGATTCCAATCAAGTTGTGGATTTGGAGAGTAAAGGAAGTGCATCAACAAATGGTAATCATATGAGACAGAACGGAGACATAGTAAAGAAAATAAATGGTGAAATCCAAACATCTAAACAGAATTGTGCATCAGAGAAAAGGTCTTGATTCTGCTACTAGCCTTCATTGATATGCGTGTGTATGTGTATCATAATGATTTTCTATGGGTTCATGTTTAACAATGTCTTTTTTTCATTTCTAATAGTGAGAGCAATCAAATTGACAATGCACCAAAGAAAACGGCCAGGAAACAGAACTTGGAAGTGGACATCCCAATACCCAATGGGAAGGGTTTATCTGAGAAGGACCCACATGAATGGTCAAGGGATGATAGAAAGGAAGTCACCGGAATGAAAAGCAAAGAACAGAGGGTTTGATCTATCTCCTTATTCAGTTCTTTTCTGTGCCTGTGTTTCTGTTCTTGCCTTCTTATGAAACTGCTTACTGCAGAAGGAATATTATGAGCGGGAGATTGAGAAGCGGGTTATACGTACCAATTCGTTGGGTAAAGACCGAAATTATAACAGATATTGGTGGTTCCAGCGTGATGGAAGAATATTTGTTGAGAGTTCTGACTCCAAGCAGTGGGGGAATTACAGTAGTAAGGAAGAGGTATTCAGCTGTTAATATTTTACTAATTGGTTGTGTTCGTTTCTCTCGTTTTCTCTCTTTATTGTTAAATTTGTTTTCTACTTGACATTTTTGAACAGCTGTATTTGTTGATCGGCTCGCTGAATTGCAAGGGTGAGAGAGAGAGGGCACTTAAAAAGCAGCTGGAAAAATTCAATAGCAGAATATGGTTAGTTTTCATTCCCTCTTGCAGTTGATGCTCCTGGCATGAACACACTCAATTAAATATCCTTTCTTGTTTGGAAAAATTTTGAGATTTATGGCCAGCATGTCAGCATGTATATGATGGATTAATGTCAAACATTCAAATCCTGATTTAAGAATGATTACATAAAGGTTCAATTGATAAGGTAGAGCAAATGATGTTTTGGGCCGGCCCCAATAATGTGATCACTAAGGCTGTTGAGAGATATGAGTTAAGAATGAAAGAGACACACCTTTCTGTTAATTCAAATAGTTTTGGTAGGATGCTGTGTTGAATCCTCAAATTAGTTGGAACACATGATGAAACGTTTGTTATTCTTACCGTCATGCATAAAATTGACAACTACTAATAGAATTGAGGAGTTATACCCCGTAGGGAAAAATATATTTTGAAATTGTCCCTTTTATTATAATTTAAATTGCATCACTTTTGTTGTCGGCTAGTTTTGTTGCCCCGTCCCTTTTGTTATTAATGGCTGCGGTAGTGTGATATTTCAGTTGGAGCAATTCAGCCATGTATATTTCGCGTTTATCTGAATAGTTTTGGTTTGAAATGCAATTTTTCACAGCCTGGAGATGGAAAAGAGATCAAAGGACTTGGTTCAAGAGGTTGCATTGGAGGAAGCAGTGCTGCGAAGGTCTTCTCGTGTAAGAGCCCCACCGAAGAAAAATCCTGCCAATGCTTTCCTAGAGTACGTTAACAAGTGGAAGGAAGACTAATTGAGCTCCCATTTTTGGTTTTTCTCTGTTCTGTTTTTGAGTCCATTAGTCTAGTGATTGCTTGGCTTTGGGGAGTATCTCTGGAGTTGAGGGGGGGGGCCAAGGAAAGCGGTGACGGATAAGTAGGAAGGAGAGGAATAGGGATGGAGCGGTTTTCTTTTGTTACTGTCAATTTTTTGGTATCCATTCCTCTAGCACTTCAAGTAGACAGACTTTTATTTTTTAGCTCAATACTCAATTTGAGCAAATACTCAATTTCTACAATCTGAGGGATCAAATTATGAGGTTATGGTCATTGCTTCCTTGAAAATTTCCGTATTCCGGTTTCTATAAATGAGTCGAACCTGAAACCTTCATCTTGTTTGGTCTTATTTGGCCCGCGTAGTAGCCACCCCCTACCGACCTACGTTGATATTATTATCTGGTTCTGGTCTTAAGTCAACTCGGTAATGTATTTATGGGTTTTGGTTGAATGATTCTACCAATTTTAAAGATAGTTATGGGCCTAAAGTCAGATCTGGTTCTGGACCGCATATTACATTTAGCTTGGGTCTTGATGTCTAAGTGTAACCCTAAACCCTATACATTTATGCGTACACGTCAATTGTATTAATCTAGAAGGGGGTGAATAGGTTATACGTAAGTCCATAACCAATTTTAAAAGTTTTGACAACTTCGACAGCTAGAAACGGATTTAGAGTGCACAAGAATTTAACAAGGTAAAACCCAACCACTTTGGGAAACGTCCTCGAGCACTTTGCCAGTCAGAAGATAATCCACTAGTAATGAAATCACAAACACAGAACTTCCGTGGAGCATGAATCATAAACCTTAATCTCTCATGTCTCAAATTTAAACTACATCACAAGGTAACTCAAGATGGAGATGAAGTTCGGTTGTATCGTAAAGCGATTTGGGTTAGGTGTAGCCGGAACAGAGCTACGGTATAGCCGGATTGGCATGATGAGAGTTGCTGGAGGTCCTTTTGACTAGTTAGTTTGTTTATTTACATAATTTCAGGTTCTATCTTTTGATTATTGGATCTCTTCAAGATCTCTGTGTTGAAGGGTGTCGCTGTTTTGTTTGTTAGATTTACTATCAAATGGTGCTCTTGGATCATGTGGTGATTTGGAGTGACGATTTAGACCTACATGCGTCGTGTTTCTTTTCCCAAATTTGGATTGCGAACCTAACTCTTTCAAGTGTATGTCATACACTGCAAGCTCCCTATTATCTCTATAAAATATTCAGATTTTCTGTTTAGATTTTTTATCCTATGAGGTGCTTGACTTTTACCATAAGTCTGCCACAAAGTATAATGTTTAGTGTGTTTTGCAAACCTTCTTTCATTAAGTGGTTCGAAAAATTAACGTTTAAATTTTATATATAGATATCTAAAGAATATTTGTAAATCAAATCTTACATAATATTCATACGTACCATCATAGCTGAATTTTTAGTTTAATTGTATGGTAAATTTACGTGAAAATTCAAGTAGAGTAAACAAAGAATTCATGTGTTCGTAATAGGACATCACATTTAGTAGATGATTTTGTATTACACGAAAGTGACCTTCATAGATAAGATCGCTTTAAGCCGGATAATACTTTAGTATATATGTATAGATACTAGTCCTGTGCATCAGGACATTGGAGGAGGAGACTTATTTGTTGGAATGAGGCCCGGCCGTAACAAACCAGTTTCATCTTTATCCTTCATTTTAGTGGGATTAATACTCGTATTATTAACTTTGGCAGTAATTTTGTTGGCAACCTCAAGCGCCTTCTCATCTTCTTCTTCTTCAGAGATAACGTCGACAGTAGCTGCTGCTTCAGCAGCAACTGGAGACTCTCTTCCTGCTTTATCATCCGCTCAACCACCACCACCACCACCACAACCTCCACTCCTAACTACAGCGGCCGCAGCTCCTGCTCCTTCTCCTGCCCCTCAAATATTAGTGAGTCTCTCTCTCTCTCTCTCTCTCTCTCAATTTTCTTAATTATATATCTCAAGTTAATCTGGTGTTTTGTTGATTAGGCAGCTGATGTGTTGCAAGAGACGATAATCCAGAAAGTAGAGGGAGATGTAACTAATTATACAGCTAAAAAGAATGATGACGTTGCTAATAGAACAGTGTTCATCAGCGGCAGCCAGCTTGATAAAGTAGAAGCAAGTTTGGGTAGAGCAAGGTCTTCCATAAGAGAAGCTGCTCTAGTTAGGAATAAAACATCTACACATCAAGACCCTGATTATGTTCCTCGAGGTCCCATATATCGCAACCCTAACGCCTTCCACAGGTACGTTACTTACAGAAAAATTGAACTCGATTAATTAGTAATTCAAATTCAAATTCACAGTCAAGCTAGCATAAGAAATTATTAACAAATATTTAGGAGTTATTGGATAACTATTTCATTTTCAGTTTTCACTCAAACGTGAAAACCAAAAAGTGAAAACTTTTTTCTTATGTTTTCAAAGTTTAGTTTTCAGTTTTTCAAAATAATAAAACTGAACTTCCTTCTTGAGTTTTCAAATTTTAGTTTTAAATTTTTAGTTTTTTGAAAACTGAAAATAGTTACCAAACAAGTAAAAAGTACGAAATGGTTATCAAACTGACTCTTAATAAATTAGTTGTTGTTATATATATCATAAAAAAAAATTGGAAAATGGCATGCAGGAGTTACCTAGAGATGGAGAAGGTGTTCAAGATATACGTATACGAAGAAGGAGAGGTTCCAATATTTCACGACGGACCATGCAGGAGTATATATTCATCGGAGGGAAGGTTTATTCATGAGATGGAAAAGGGTAAATTGTACCGTACAAAAGACCCTCACAAGGCACTTGTTTATTTCCTTCCATTCAGTGTGGTTAACATGGTTCAGTATATCTACAAGCCTGAAACCTTTGATCGAAGTGGCATGAAGCTTGCTGTGGTCGACTACATCAATCTCATCTCTCACAAACATCCCTTCTGGAATCGAAGCCTCGGTGCCGATCATTTCATGTTGTCCTGTCACGATTGGGTACGTATCTCACCTCTGTTAATTACCTTCTACATACACTATATCTACCTTCTTTTTATAATTAACTATATGCACTCCAAACTGAATATTTTATAATCTTATGTGTTCTCGTAAATGAATACGGGAGGCTAAATAATTTTTTTTTTTAAATTACTTGATTTTTATTGGATAATACTTGCATACTCTATTGCGAATAACGTTCTTGACCGTACAAATTTCATAATCGAAATTGTTCAATTTCTTAATCTTTATTTGGAGACCATCCCTACAAAATCATTTCAATAGAAGATCATTTAGTCATTAAAGTGTATGGAACAAATGGACAATGTAGATACAAAGTAATATATTCATGATAACCCGTCTATTTATTTGATACATTTAATTAGATAATTAAACAATCTCGAATTTGAAATTTTTTTTATAAGATTGATCTTCAAATGAAGATTAATAAACTGAATAGTTCCAACCGTAGATTCTATTCGGTCAAGATATGTTATTCACAAATGAAAGTATAAATGCATCTTCATATTGGGATGCAAAGTCACTTGATTTTTTTTCTTTTTAACTACCAACCCATTGCTTAATAGTAAAATAACCGTTTTCATAAAAATTAGTAAAATAACCGTTTATTAGCTTCCAAATGCATATAAGGCCAATTCCAGCACAATCTGACAATCCTCTCATTTTCTCATTTGTCTTTCTATATGTCTCTTTCATTTTGCATATACATGCAAAGGGCCACCACTGCAATTTGTGGTTTAGAGATATCTAGCTAGCCACCCACCTTTTATGATTATGTTCTCTTTGATAGAAAAAATAAAAATTAGTCATGATGGAAGACTTAAGTAGGAATTACCAAAGTTTTACGTCGTTCTAGAGTATGGAATATTCCGGATCTTAATTAATGTTAAACAGAGGTTTAAAACATTTGGAGTATTCTCATATATACGATTGTATAATGATTAATATTTAGTAGTGACTAGTCCAATTGCGAGGGCGATGGCGATGTCAACGTGGCACCAACTTCAATTTCACGATGGTTGAAACTTCCTTTACGAATGTGGTGGGTGGGGGGAGCACTTCATACATCGAATAATAATATTCTTCTTTGTTTCTTTTCTGGTATATCTCTGACTTTATGTGGTGTCTAATATCTAGTATTTATTTTAATTTTATTTTCTCTTAACACTTATTAACAAAATGCCAATAATTCTTACAAGATATATAATTATTATTGACCTCAACCGATGTCTTTATCCCAACATCGTCACTCAATTATTTTTCTTTCATAGAAGATATAATATCTCTCATGATTACTATCGTTATTTATTTTGGAAATAGATTATTATCATTATTAATGAACCATAGAAAACTAATTTTCTTAATTATTTTGCTTTATTAAGTTGTTAAATACTTTAAACATATAGATCTAAACTAATAAACTCTTGTGGGTTAATATGCATTTGATCTTCAGAAGTCTGACCTTAGGATACTGCAATTTTAATATTTTTATTTGGTTGTTGCAAATTTGCAAGTCTTTTACCAAAACAAAATTTCAAAATTCATATTTTAGAAATTAGGAAGTGTTTGTTTGTGGTACCAGAGACTTTCTTTATCAAGTGGCAAGTGCCTTGGTGGCCGTTGTCCTTTTCGGTATCCAATGTTTTTCTTTTTCTCTTTTTATACTTCGAAATTTCTGTGGGAAATGCACAATAATAACACCTTTTGAATAAGCTCCTACAAAACTGACGTTGGTACAAAAACGGCTATCTATATTGAGTAAATGTTTCATGAATATTTGGTAGATATTGATAATATAGTGTCGCTATTTGCATATTTATAAGTCCATATAACATTGATATTTAGTCGCAATATAATTGTCATTGCGTTGGTATTTGGTTCTAACATTGTCCTGTATTCCGTTTGAGTCGCTCCTTCGAGTAATTTTTGTCGTCAGTACAACTTGATGTAATTTTGTAAGTGCTCATTTTAAAGGTGTCATGACTGTGCATTTCCTCTTTCTTTTTTTTTTCTTTTTTTTTTTTCACTTTGGGTGCTATTATTGACACTCAAAAATCTCATTGTGCTCTCTAAACATTCCATATTCATAAAGAAAAATATATTTATGAGAAGTGTGGAATACAATTTTAGGATATTAATAATAGCAATCTTTGATTTTGTTTTGTTTTTTTTTTTAAATTAAAAAACAAATATTTGAACTCTATAATATATTCTAATCTTAACTCATTACTTCACTCTGCCTCCCTAA